TATTTTTATTTTATATGTACACGTGTATTGCTTGCATGTAGATAAGCACACCTGTGTTGTGCGATGCCCTCGGACATCAGAAGAGGCTGTTGGATCCTCTGGAACTGGAGTTTCGGACAGTTGTTAGCTGCCATGTGGGTGCTGGGATTCAAACCCAGGTCTTCTGCAAGAACAGCCAGTGTTCTTAACTGCTTTTTCTTTTTTTTTTTTTTTTTGAGACAGGGGTCTCCCTGTAGCCCCAGCTGGCTTTAAAGGTGTTCACCACCATGCCTGGCTTATTTATTTATTTATTTTTGGTCTTTTTGTGGCAGGGTCTCCCTGTAGTCCCAGCTGGCCTGGAACTCACTGTGTGGACCAGGCTAGCCTTGAACTCACAGAAATCCACCTGCCTCTGCCTCCCTGAGTGCTGGGATTAAAGGCATGCACCACCACACCCGGCTCAGCTTGTTATTTTTATTTTATGTGTATGAGTGTATTGCCTAGATACACTAGTGCACCTGCGTCATGCAATGCCCACAGAGGTCAGAAGAGGGTGTTGAAGGGAGCTGGAGAGATGACTCAACAGTTAAGAGCACTGACTGCCCTTACAGAGGACCCGGGTTCGATTCCCAGCACCCACATGGCAGCTAAGAACTGTCCTTAACTCCAGTTCCAGGGGAATCTGATGCCCTCTTCTGACCTTGTAGCATTGCACTACATGGGTGCACTCCCGTACATGCAGGCAATACACTTGTACACATAAAAAATAATAATAGTATTAAAAAAAAAAAAAGAGAGAGGGTATTGAATGCCCCTGGAACTGGAGTTACAGATGGTAGTTTGCCAGGGTGTTGGGAATCGAACCCAGGTCCTTTGTAAGAGCAGCCAGTGTTCTTAACTGCTGAGCCATTTCTCCAGACCCCTTTTTTATTTAATTTTTAAAACATTGCCAAGCTATGATCATCTGGGAGTTGTCTTATGGAATGGTGAAGGAGTACCACCTTACCACCATCTAATGTCTGAGGCAGCTCTCTGATTTCTTTCTTTTTTTTTTTGGTCTTTTTTGAGATAGTGTCTCCCTGTGGCCACAGCTGGCCTGGAACTCACTATGTAGACCAGACTGTCCTCAAACTCACAGAGATCTGCCTCCCAAGTGCTGGGATTAAATGTATGTGCCACCATACCCAGGTGATTTCCTGTTTCTTACTGAGTGTAGCTATATCTCCCATATACTTGTCCAAGGCCTGGAGTCACTCAGCCCTGGTTCTCTCCTGCCCAGTGCATATGAATAGTAACCCACGAGCTGACCCCTAGCCCTAGAGCCACCATGATATCCCTGCTGCTGTCCTGTCCTCTACAGTTTATCCACTCATGGCCCAGGGAGATGACAGTGTTCTTGGATCAGAATCCTAGCCACTCTGTACCTACTCAGGGTAGACCCCATGCTCTCTGGCCTCAGAGCCCCTTGAGGCAACTTTGCTGGTATGCCCAGGAACCCCTCTTCCCCAAAAATCATTGTCCCTGTGCACTGAGAGCAGGTGACTGCCTAGGCACTATTCTGTCTCAGCCCCCAGTGTCTTTTTGCCTCAAAATGTGCATCGAGTCTTGTCTGATAGGTGGGGTTATAGGTACTGCCTGCTCTCAAGTGCTGTGACCCTGAATGAAGGGCAGATTTGGTGGGATTGGGGTTAAGATGGGAAGATGAGGAGAGACCTGAAAGAAGTGACTTGAGGCTGCGTGGTAGGATCATGAGGAAACGGCCAGACATCGTCCTGGGCGTGGCACACACTGTTGTGAAGAGGATGTCATCCTTTGTGCGGCAGATAGACTTTGCTCTAGACTGGATGGAGGTGGAGGCTGGGCGAGCCATATACAGGTAAGGCTCACAGATGCCCAAAGGTGTGCAGTATACAGAAAGAACTACAGGTATACAGTGTACAGAAAAGCCCCCAGGTGTGCATTATATGGAGCAGTCCCCAAGTATGCAGTATGCATAAAAGTCCAAAAGTTTATAGTATACAGAGAAGCCCCCAGGGATGCAGCATACAGAAAGGCCTGCAGGTATCTCCATCTCTGGATATCCCTGTTGACGTATAGTGGTACTGCTGGTAGATAAAGCTCCATTCCTATGGAGAGTTTACAGAGAAAAAGATAACTTGCTTTATTCACTTCCCCACCTCCAGGACCCATGGAAACACTTTTTGTGGACATCTTGGGTTCTCTGCACACATAGAGACACATTTTCAATGGGCATCACTCCATGTCTATACACATAAGCCCACACCATCCTGTCAAAAGACCTAAGTCATTTAAAATGGTCTTTATAAGGTATTGCTGCTCTGTTTTCAAGTCTTCTGATCCTAGATGGACTGCCCTTGACCCCACATCATAGCTGCCTTTCCCCTACTCAGGTCATAGACAGATCTGACTTAGAGTTACCAATTTTTGTGATGTTTAAAATTTAGGCTAAGAAAAATTAAAATGCTTATTCAAAATAGTAAATCTATATATATTAGCACAAATATTTTTAAATGAAAACTAACTGTACTTTACAAACCTAAAAATAGATATACTGAGATGACTATATTCTTTGATTTGTTTCACTCTGTGGTCTGGTTGGCTGCTGGGAAGCTGGTTCTGGGGGCAGCTAAGGCTGGTGGGCTGAGGACCTGTGTGTCTCTGCAGACAAGGAGATAAGTCCGACTGCACATACATTGTCCTCAGTGGCCGGCTGCGCTCTGTGATCCGGAAGGATGATGGAAAAAAGCGTCTGGCTGGGGAGTATGGCCGTGGAGACCTTGTTGGTGTGGTAGGTGCCAACTCCACTGTCAGCTTTCTGTAACATTCTGGAACTCACTTGGCTGGTTTCCTGAGGTCCAGGGAGGGAGCCTGACTGACCTGTGAGAGAGTGACCCCTTCCTTCCAGCTGGTCCACTCTGAGCCCCAGGTCCTGCCTTCCATCTGGGGCCCCATCTTGGTCTTCTAGGAGGTCCAGAGTACTGGTCCCTGGTTTCTGGGTGCTCATTTGTGCCCAGATGAGTAATGTCCTGGAGGTCTTGACTGAGACTGGCAGCTCACCCTAGCTTCCCAGTACTGCCTGGCATAGGTAGGTTCTTCTGTCCTGAGATACAGATGACCAGCCTCTGGATGCTGCAGTGATGGGCTTGTGGAGCTGCATGAGGACAGTGGATTCCAACCTGTACTTCTGGCTTCTGCTACTGGGTTGTTTTTTTTTTTTTTTTTTTTTCTTTTTGAGACAGGGTCTCCCTGTAGCCCCAGCTGTCCTGGAACTTACTATGTAGACCAGGCTGGCCTTGAACTCACAGAGATCCATCTGCCTCTGCCTCCCACCACGCCTGGCACTGCTAATGTTTTTAGTTTGGTTTCTTCCCTTGAGGAAGGTCTTACTGTAGTCTAGGCAGGCCTGGAAATCACCATATGACTTGAACTGACTTGTCCTTGTGATCCTTTTGCTTCAGCTTCCTGAATTTTGGGAATACAGGTGTTAGCCACCACACCATGCTGAGTCTGCCTCCCACCCCCTTTTCCTCCCCTTTGAGGCAAAGTCTCACTGTATAGCCCAGGCTGGCCTTAAACTCAGAATCTTTCTGTCTCAGTTTCCCTGTTAGAACTACAGGCATGAGCCACCACACCAGGCCATCTGCTGCTTTTTTTTTTTTTTTTTTTTTTTTTTTTTTTTTTTGGTCTTTTTGAGACAGGGTCTCCCTGTAGCTCCAGCTGTCCTGGAACTCACTATGTGGACCAGACTGGCCTTGAACTCACAGAGATCCGCCTGCCTCTGCCTCCCAAGTGCTGGGATTAAAGGCGTGCACCATCACACCTGGCTCATCTGCTACTTTTTTTTAAAAACGTTTTAAACCAGGCCTGGAGAGATGACTCAGTGGTTGAGACCACTGGCTGCTTTTGCAGAGGACCCAGGTTCAGTTCCTAGCACCCACATGGTGGCTACAAACCATCCTTAACTCCCAGTTCCAGGGGAATCTGACGCCCTCTTCTGACCTCCATGGCGTTGCATGACATGGGTGCACTAGCATGCATGCAGGCAATACACTCATACACATAAAATAAAAATAATAAAAATATTTTTAAAAAACGTTTTAAACCAGTGTTCAGGGAAGTCTGGAGGCTCTTTGCTATCCATCAGTAAGGTCTTAGGGAAGCCTTCCTGATTCTGGAGATTACTGGGCAGACATAGCTACTTCCTTTTGCATAGCCCCCATGCCCGTGTTTCTCCTGCTCTGCTTTCCCTGAGCTCTGCCTGGCAGTGGGTTTTCCGTGTCAGAGTCTGAGACTTCCTGATGTTCAGCTGGCCCTGTTCCTGGCCTTAGGGTAGCCATGTTGTGTGTAGTCTATAGGTCTAGTCACTAATTCCTATTTGGAAGCCTTCACAGCTAGCTGAAGCAGATGCTTTCATGCTGCCCCCTGGAGTCCTGAAAGCTATGAGGGACACATCTGATGTGGACTCTAGTGGAGGGCATAATTTCTCTGAAGGCATTTGTGTGTGAAGGAACGTTCAGAGTTCTATGTGATAGCCAGTGGTGCCAGTCAGTGTCTGTGTGTGAAGCCTGTCTGGATTGCTAGGGTGGCTTGTGGCTTCTGAAACATTCCAGTTGTTTTGACAGCACAGTCTTAGTCATTTTGCTTCCTTCTGTGCCTCTTGACCATGCAGCTGTGTGCAGCTCTCTTGTAGACTGCCATCCACCTGAACTGCCCATGTACTGGGCTCCCTAAGTGTGGTCAACTTGGCCCACCTGGGAGCTTAGACTGATCTGTGGGACTCCAGTATCTGACTCCTCTTCCTTAGGTGGAAACACTGACCCACCAGGCCAGGGCAACCACTGTACATGCCGTCCGGGACTCAGAATTGGCCAAGCTGCCAGCAGGAGCTCTGACATCCATCAAGCGCAGGTACCCACAGGTAAGTGTGTCACAGAGCCCCTGTTCCAGCTGCACCTCTAGCCCAAATGATGATTTAGTAAAGTGCAGATGGATATAGTATAGAACAGGCAGGTGTGATGGTGTGAGGAAAGTGATACATAAGACCATACTTTCAAAGAGAGGGACTTTTTAACCTGTGCAGCTGAGAACAGAAACTTGAAGAGAGTGATGGCAGACAGCAGGCTACCACCACATCCAGCTCAAGATGCAGCTTTTTTTTTTTTTTTTTTTTTTTTTTTTTTTTTTTTGGTCTTTTTGAGACAGGGTCTCCCTGTAGCCCCAGCTGTCCTGGAACTCACTATGTAGACCAGGCTGGCCTTGGACTCACAGAGATCCGCCTGCCTCTGCCTCTGGAGTGCTAGGATTAAAGCCGTGCGCCACCACGCCTGGCATGAGGCAGCATTTTATGAATGGTTTCTTTCATTGTTTTGCCATGTCCTACTGTGTACCACAGTCCATTTGTCTGTTCTCCAGTTGGTGGGTGTTGGGGTAGTTTCCTATTTGGGACTGTTGGGGAAAGGCTGCTGAGCACATTCTTTTTTTAAAAAATTTTGTTTTGGCGGGGCTGGAGAGATGGCTCAGCAGTTAAGAACACTGGTTGTTCTTGCAGAAGACCCAGGTTTGAATCCCAGCACCCACATGGCAGCTAACAACTGTCCGTGACTCCAGTTCCAGGGGATCCAACAGCCTCTTCTGTCCTCTGCGGGCATTGCACAACACAGATGCACCTACCTACATGCAGGCAATACATGCATACATGTAAAATAAAAATAACAAAATATTTAAAAAATTTTTTTGTTTTAATTAATTAAATTTTATTTTATGTGTATGAGTATTTTGCCTGCATGTATGTAAGTGCACCCATGCATGCAATGCCCATGGAGGTTAGAATTTCAGTTTCCCCAGTTCTTAGATATGCCAGATACTTTTTCATGTGCTTATTGACCTATTTTGAAATTTTGTCACTTGGCAAAGAAATTATCTTTTCTAAATTTAACTTTCACTTTGAATTCACTTGTTAATTTTTAACTATGATAATTTTATTTATTTACTTATTTGTGGTAAGGCTGGAGATTGAACTCAGGGCCTTCCATATACTAGGCAAGCACTATGCCACTGAGCCACATCTCCAGCCCTTTTTAAATTTTATTTTGAGACAGTATTGCTAAGTTCCCCAGTATTGCTAACTTATGACCCTTCTGCCTCAGCCTCCTAGTGCTGAGATGGGATGTGTGAAATATCATGCTTGACAGGTTATAGTTATTTTTAAAAGTTCTTAATGTTTAGAGAAACATTCAGATATTGGTGCATAGAATGCTGTGAGAATGTCCCAGGGGTATGTGTGAATTGGGACTATTAAGAAGAATGAGGTGACAGTGGAATTCCCTAGCTCTTTTGTTTTGTATGTGATTCAGGTTTTTTTTTGTATTAGAGTACATTTAAAAACAGTCTTCTTGCTGGGTGCACGCCTTTGATCCCAGCACTCAGGAGGCAGAGACAGGTGGATCTCTGTGAGTTCAAGGCCACCCTGGTCTACATAGTGAATTCCAGGACAGCTGGGGCTACAGAGAGACCCTGTCTCAAAAAGACCAAAAACAAACAAACAAAAACAAAACAAAACAAAACAAAACAAAAAAAACAGTCTTCTTAGCAGTTGGTGCTAGCTCAGACTTCTCTGTTCAAATGTCATTGTCTTATGTCTTAAAATTTGGACAATTTCACATCACATCCATAATCAGGAACAGAGAGCAATGAATGCACACATACTGATGCTCAGCTTGCTTTCTGCATTTATATAGCTCAGATCCCACCTACAATTAAGATGGGTCTTCCCACATCAGTTAATATGATCAAGACAATCCCCAACAGGCATGTCCAGAGGTCCATCTTCCAGATAAGTCTAGATTCTGTCAAGTTGGCAATTAACACTGCCTCATCTGGCAGCCAGAAAGGTGTACATGGGCTCTTGTAGCCCATAGATGTTTCCAGTCACTGGCAGTTTTGGAAAAGCAGACCCAGTCTCCTGTTTGAACATCGTTGTGGCATCTTCAGTTCCCAGAATTTCACCATTTAAAGATGTGGTTTAGGGTTTTCCTTGTTTCTCTACACCAAGGTTGTGACCCGATTGATTCATCTCTTGGGCGAGAAAATTCTGGGCAGCCTTCAGCAGGGATCTGCAACAGGTGAGTCTCAGCTCTACCTTGGAGCTCTGCCTCTGCCCCACCTACTGCCCCATCCTGCCCCTGCCTGGGGAGGGAGAATGAGGCATAGAGGCCAGGGAAGACCTCTGGGGCAGTCTGGGTTACTAAGCTGCCTGACTCTTGAAAATGTCCCTGAACTACTACTAGACATGAATCTGAGCAGGGTGGGAAGAGCTTAGATTTTGGCAATGCCAGAAGATTTTGCTGATATTCCTCAACGTGGGCAGCACAGAGGGAAATTCTACTATGTGTGAAAAGAAATATGATATATCTCCCTCCTATTTCTGTCAACTGATTAGAAAAAGGAAACAGAGAGTGAAGCCTCCAGGAGAGTGGGATAGTTGGAGGCTGCTGTTGTCTGTCCTATGCCAAGTATGAAAAGATGGTAAAACAACTACAGTGTATCAAGAATTAAAAATCTGTCCCAGTGTGTTTATTTTCTTCTAGCTCTAAGAATGTCCCTTTTTAGGAGTCACTGGTCATTCTGTGTTCTCAGGCTGTCCTGGATCAAAGATACGTGAAGAATTCCAGTGTTGCTATTTGGTGCTTTGCTGTTCTGTGCACTCTATACACATGGCTCTCTCCTGCCTTTGCCTCCATGCCTCTGCCTGGGCCACCATTCCACATGTCCCTGCTCACTCCTAGGTGCAGCCTCCTGGCCTCCTCACCGACTCTGCTGATCTCAGCCCTCATCTTTTGCTTCATTTTTCAATAGTTCTCTCTAGCTAGCTCATTTGTGACCTGTCCCTGTACTGACAACGTGAGCTGTGCAAGGGCAGAGTCTGCATCTGTTTCTACAACTGAGACTGCTGCACATTATTTCGTGTTTCTTGGAAGGACAAATCCTCCTTGCTGTCATAGCCTGATATTTTGAGGGTTTTTTTTGTTTTTGTTCTTGTTCTTGTTTTTGTTTTGTTTTTGTCTTTTCGAGGCAGGGTCTCCCTGTTAGCCCCAGCTGATCTGGAACTCACTATGTAGACCAGGCTGGCCTTGAACTCAAAGAGATCCACCTGCCTCTGCCCAGTGCTGGGACTAAAGTCACGTGGCTGATATTCTGGGTTTTGTTCTCACTTAAATCTTGTATTTTGACAGACTGACTGTGCTTCCAGTGTGGACACAGCAACAGGAGCTGTGAGCCTCCCTCTAGGGTATGCTCATCTCAACCTTATGAGTCTGCAAGGCTCTTTCCACATGAGGTCACATTCTGAGTTCTGAGTAGACGTGAATTTTGGGAGGGACACCACACCATTTAGCACATGTGATATCTTTTTTGTTTTGCTTTCAACTTATCTGACCATTATGTTTGAAGAAAGTTTTTCTTTTTTAATAATTTTTTATTGAATTTTTATGTATTTCATACAGTACATCTTAATCGTTTTTATACTTCCTTCCCCATTGGCCCCCTCCCATAGCCCCCCAACTGGAATTTATACATTCTATCATTTGTGTTAAGGCCTATCATGTCAAGTTAGTGTTCCCAGATGTTCCTCAGTGCAAGTTTATCTACTGAGGTCTAGTCAGCCTATCTAGAGTCCCTCCTTTTAAGAAGATCAGCTCTTTCTCACCCAGTAGTAATCAGCTGCCAATAATTCTTCAACTAAAATTGGTACCTGTTGTCAATTTCCACAGTTCTGTGCTGGGTTTTTGTCTACTTGAGTTTGGTGGGTCTTGTGCATGCTGACATCATTGCTGTAGGTTCATATGAGAAGAGTCCCAGGAGCCTGTAGGACCATTTCCATATGTCATACACTTCCTCCCTGGCTCTTACAATCTTTCTGCCCCTTCTTCCATAATGGTCCCTGAACCCTGGGTGGGTAGATTTTAATATGGGAGTCCTGTCCAAGGACCCACACTCTGTAGACTCTTTTTCTCTATGTTTTGGTCATTTAAAAAAATTTTTTATTTTTATTTTATGTGTATTCTTATATTACCTGCATATAGGTAAGTACACCCGTGTCATGCAATGTCCGAGGAGGTCAGAAGAGGCTGTCAGATCCCCTGGGACTGGAGTTACAGAAAGTTGTTAGCTGCCATGTGGGTGCTGGGACTCAAATCCGGGTCTTCTGCAAAAACAACCAGTGTTCTTAACTGCTGAGCCATCTCTCTAGCCCCTGTTTTGGTCATTTGTAACCTTTTGTGTTCCTGGCCCTCTGTTGCATGAGGGAATGTCATTGATGGGATTTGAAAGATGCATTCGTGTTCTCTTCATCCCTTGTTCTATGTTCTGTAAGCCTTAGGTGTAGAGGCTGCATCCTAGATGTGCCAGGTAGGCTTGGGTAATTCACAGACAATCTCTGTGTATGACCAGTTGTGGAACTCTGATACTTTGTTTCTGTTGAAAAAGAAGCTTCAGGCTGGAGAGATGGCTCAGCGGTTAACAGCACTGACTACTCTTGCAGAGGACCTGGGTTTGATTCCCAGCACCCACATGGTGGCTATGAACCGCCCTTGACTCCAATTCCAGGGAATCCGAAGCCCTCTTCTGACCTCCGTGGCATTGCACGACATGGGTGCATTCACATACATACAGGCAATACACTCATACACATAAAATTAAAATAATAAAATATTTTTTGAAAAAAAAATATATAAGATGCTTTTAGCAGGGCGTGGTGGTGCACACCTTTAATCCCAGAACTGGGAAGCAGAGGCAGATCTATATTGTGAGTTCCAGGCCAGCTGTGGCTGCAGGGAGACCCTGTCTCAAAAAAACAAAACAAAACAAAAAAAAAACTGCTTTGATGGATAGCTGTTGATTACCCTAGAGATAAAAGTACCACTACTACACCAATGTTGTTTGCTGTGCTGGTCATTGATGTGGTTTTTAGGCCTTGACTGGGGTTGGACCATCAATTGATGTTTCTTTCTTACCAGCTTGCATAGTGCTCTTCAAAGCTATGAGAGCTAGCCTTCAGGGGAGGTGGCTTCCAGGTCTCTTGCTCCAAATTCTGTCTTAAGTATGTCCTGTCTTCTGCAACAGAGTCTTACCTTCAAGTTCTGGGAGGTAATAAAGGGCTTGAAGGAAGTTTTTCAAATAAAGCACATACTGGACCATGTTTTTGTCATCTCTTCTGATAAGCTTTACCTTTTTATTTTAAGGCTTTAGACCATTTCCATCTAATGTAACTATATTTTGTTAGGATTTATGTATGCCATCTTTTTTATTTTTTATTTTTTTGGTCTTTTTGAGACAGGGTCTCCCTGTAGCCCCAGCTGCCCTGGAACTCACTATGTAGACCAGCCTGGCCTTGAACTCACAGAGATCTGCCTCTGCCTCTCGAGTGCTGGGATTAAAGGCGTGCGCCACCATGCCTGGCACTAAAAACTGTTTTGTTATTTTTATGTATGAGTATATTGCCTGCATTTATGTGAGTACAATGCCAACATAGCTCAGAAGAGGGCATTGGATTCCCCTTGAACTTGAATTATGTATAGTTCTTAGCCACTGTGTGAGTGCTAGGAATCGAACCCAGGTCCTCTGCAAGAGCAGCAAGTGCTCTTAACCACTGAGCCATCTCTTCAGCCCTATTTGACCTTTTTTAAAAATCATTTTTAGTTTATTTATGTGTATGAGTGTATTGCCTGCATGCATGTAAGTGCACTTGTGTCATGCAATGCCCATGGAGGTCAGAAGAGGGAATCAGATTCCCTGAAACTGGAATTAGAGACAGTTGTTAGCTGCCATGTGGGTGCTGGGAATCAAACCCAGGTCCTCTGCAAGAGCAGTCTGGCTCTTAAACATTGAGCCACCTCTCTAGTCCCCACTTGACTATTTTTCAATTTTATTTATTATTTTTATTTTATGTATACTAGTGTATTGCCTGCATGTATGTGAGCACACCCGTGTCGTGCAATGCCGTGGAGGTCAGAAGAGGGCTTTGGATTCCCCTGGAACTGTAGTTAAGGATGGTTCGTTGCTACCATGTGGGGGCTGGGAATCGAACCCAGGTCCTCTACAGGAGCAGTCGGTGCTCTTAACCGCTGAGCCACCTCTCCAGCACCCCCACTTGACTATTTTTAAACACACTATTTTTACGAATTCTGATTTCCACTCTCTTTATAGGACAATGTCAGTGGTCACTCTAGGAAGTAAAATGTTTTATGTCTGTGCTTGTCCTCATCCACTATTAGCAGCATGTTTTCACTTAAGTGGAATGAGAGCACCTTATCAGGTTTAGATCACATTGCCCTTTCCTTTGTTTTCTTGTTTTCCTTTTGAGACAGGGTCTCCCTGTAGCCCCAGCTGTCCTAGAATTTGCTATATAGACCAGCCTGGCCTACCTCTGCCTCCAGAGTGCTGGGATTAAAGATATGTACCACCACACTTGGCTCCCTTTGTTTCCTAAACCATTACCTCTGCATGCATCTAGAACCATGTATTTCAAAAAATTTGCAATCCAAAATCCAAACTTTTTTAGTGTCATGTCAGCACTCAGAAATTCTGAATTATGGAGTATTTGCAACTTTCAGATTAAGAATGTTCAATCGGTAGTCTGGAAATGTTCCAAAACCTGAAAAAGTCAGAACCCCAAATACTCTGGCCCCAGGAATTTCAAATAAATGACACTGGACTTGCCTTTAAATTGTTCTCATCTTTAGTTGTCAGAAGTTTTATTTCAATATTCTTGGATTTATGCTGTTTGGGGTTACCTCGGCTTCAGTCTGTAGGTTTATATCTTTTAACAATTTTGGAACATTCTTAACCTTTCTTTCTTCACATATTCTTTCAACCTGTATTCTTTCTTTCCTTTTGGAAACAAAAGGACATGAATGCTGGGCCTTTTGTTATTTTCCTCAAGGTATCTGGGGCACTGTTCATTTTTACATCTTTTTCTCTCTCTGATGTTTAAATGGAATTGCTTCTTTTTGATCTGTCTTCAGTATCACTTGCTCTTTCCTGTCACCTTAGTTCTCCTTTTAGGCCTATCCAGAAGGGTAGTCTTTTTGTTGTAGTTCATCCTCCCCCTCCTCCTCCCCCTCCTCCTCTCCCTCCTCCTCTTCCTCCTTCTCCTCTTCTTCCTCCTCCTCCTCCTTCCTCCTCCTCTTCTCCTCTTCCTCCTCCTCCTCCTCTTCCTCCTCCTCTTCTCCCCCTCCCCCTCTTCCTCCTCCTCCTCCTCTTCTCCCCCCCCCATTCCTCCTTCCTTCTTCTTCTATTATTTTGAGTCCTGGTCTTGCTGTATAGCCCAGGCTGGCTTCAAATTCATTATGTAGCCCAGTCTGGCCTGGAATTTGCCATCCTCTTGCCTCAGTCTCCTAAGTTTTGGGATTACAGGCTTGTGTCACCACCACTCCTGGTCCCTAGAGAGTTTTATATTTGTCATTGTTATTGCTCTTCTTTGTTTTTGCTGATGTTGTCTGTTTCTACATTTGTTTCATGAGTGTTCATGATTGGGTTGGAACTGGTTGTGTTTTATTGTTCCTATCAAATAATTCTAACCTCTGTGCCATGTTTGTTGACTGATTTCTCATTCTAGTTAAGATTCTTGGTTCTCAGTGTACCTGGTAGTTCAGATTATACATTGATATTTTGAATATTATATTCCCATTAAAATATTCTGCACGACAAGGGTGCACTTACCTACATGCGGGCATAACACTCATACACATAAAATAATAAAACATTTAAAAAATATTTTATGGCAGGCTGTCAGTGTGCTTGCATTCACAGCTCAGGTCCTGCCCCAGGACTGAGGTTTAAATTTTAACTAAGTTGTTAAGGTTGTACCAGTTTGCTGTCTGGACTGTGGTTTAAATTTTAACTCAGTTGTAAAGGCTGGAACAGTTTGTTGTCCTGTATGTCCTTGAGCTAGTATGATTGCTGGCTGGAGCTTTGTACCATCCTCAGTTCTCAGAGCCTCTTCAGGGATTCTGGTCAGGCTAGCACAGGCAAATCTAAAGAATTCCTTTTTCTGCTTCCCACCTCTGACTTGGGAAGGGTTTCTGCTTGCTAGGTAGAGGAGCTGCTACTGGCTCCTCTGAGACTCCCTGGGGGCAACCTCCATGAAGAGGGCCCTTTCATGAAGCAAAGCCAGTTAGCAGCCATCCTTTGCTTGCTGAATCTTGGGAGGGAGCTGCTTTCTGTAGCCTTCAGGGCCTCTAGGTGAGGTGTACCTGGCTTTACTTCCCTTTCGACCATAGCCAAAACTTTGTAAGTGCCTTGCTTAAAGACTAAGAAAGGATACACAAATCTAGCAACAGAGCTCCCATGTTGGTTCTACCTAAAACAGGGTTCTGGAACTGGAGAGATGGCTCAGTGGTTAAGAGTACCTGGTGCTCCTGCAGAGGGATGGGATTTAGTTCCCAGCACCTACATAGCAGCTCACAACCACCTGTAACTCCAGTTTCAGAGGTTCTGATGTCCCCTTCTGGCATCTGTGGACACTGCACACACTTGATACACACATATACCACAGTTAAAACACTTATACCCATAAAGTAAATAAATCTTTTTTTAAAAAAAACCAGAGGGTTCGGGCTGGAGAGATGGCTCAGCGGTTAAGAACACTGGTTGTTCTTGCAGAAGACCCAGGTTCAAATCCCAGCACCCACATGGCAGCTAACAACTATCCATAACTCCAGTTCCAGGGGATCCAATGGCCTCTTCTTTCCTCCCAGGGCATTGCACGACACAGGTGCACTTACCTACATACAGGCAATACACACATACACATAAAATAAAACTAATAAATAAAAAACATTAAAAAAAACCCAGAGGGTTATGACAGCTGAGGTCATTGGGGAAGGTGAGAGAAAGAAAGGGAACCCTAAGGGGGACCTGCTGCAGGAAGAGCAAGAGAAGGCCACCCTGAAGAAGAGGCGCTCAGACCTACCATAGGGGTGACGTCCATCTGCTTCTGCTAGGTAGCACTCTGAGCTGTGGGCTTTGGGGTGTTTTAGTTATTTATCTATTTACTTAGGTAATGTTTCCACCTGATTAGGAGTGGTGAACAAAGCTGGGCATGGTGGTACAGGCCTTTAAAACCAGCACCTGGGAGGCAGGGGCAGGCAGATCTCTGAGTTCAAGACCAGCCTGGTCTACACAGTTCCAGGCGAGTTGGGGCTACAGGGAGACCCTGTCTCAAAAAGACCCCCCCCCAAAAAAGAGTAGTGAATATTCCACTCAGTTTGTGGAAGCAGCAGGCGCATGGGTAGAGGACATGTGAGTACCTGGGGACTCCTTGTGAGCTCTGTGGGCAGAGGTTCTACTGCCTCACAACACCATGTTGTGAAATACCTGTAGAGGTCAGAAGAGGGCATCAGATCCCCTGGAACTGGAGTTATGGATGGTTAGCTGTCACGTGGGTGCTAGGAATCAAACCTTGGTCCTCTGCAAGAACAGTCACTGCTCTTAACCTCTGAGCCTGTGTTTTTTTTTAATATTTTGTTATTTTTATTTTATATATATGAGTGCATTGCCTGCATGTAGGTAAGTGCGCCCGTGTCATGCAATGCCCTCGGAGGACAGAAGAGGCCATTGGATCCCCTGGAACTGGAGTTATGGATAGTTGTTAGCTGCCACGTGGGTGCTGGGATTTGAACCCAGGTCTTCTGCAAGAACAGTCAGTGTTCTTAACCGCTGAGCCGTCTCTCCAGTCCCTGTGTTTTACTTTTGGATAGCCAAATGGTCATCCATTTAGCTGTTTTCTCCATCAAGCATCTGTGTCCTTGGCTCTTTTTGTTTTTGTCCTCAGCTCTTTTAAACAATTTTGCACTGAACACGTGCATGTATGCGTGTTATATATGCGAGGTATGTGTATGAGTGTATGTATACACTATGTGTGATGCATCTGGCTGTATTTAGTATGTGTATGGTATGTGGGTAGTATGGTATGTGTGTATGCTATGTGAATTGTGTGTGGTATATACATATGATGTGTATGAGATATGTATGTGAGTTGTGTGTGTGTGTCTATGATATATGTATGATGTATGTGGGTGTGAGCATGGTATGTGTGTGTGTGTGTGTGTGTGGTATGCAAGTGTCCTCTCAAGAATGCACAGTTGTTGCTGTTTGTCATAGCCTGCAGTGAGTGCCTGATTCCTTAGCTCTCAACACTTTCCTTGCTCTTAGATTTGCTTGGAATGCCCTGTACCCAAACCCACCATCCTGTACCCTGTGTCATCAGAAAACATGGAGGCTGTCCTGGTGGCTCAGCCTCCCAAATTGATTTCTGGCTCTGTGCCTACAGGTCACCAGCTTGGGATCCACACAGCAAGCAGCAAGTGGGACTTGGGGAACCCAGCCGTCAACTTGTCCACGGTGGCAGCAATGCCTGTATCTGAGGATGTACCCCTCACTGCCTTTGCTCTGGAGCTCCAGCATGCCCTCAGTGCCATCGGTAAGCCTCACAGTGGTCCTGAGGATAAATGCTATCAGCTTCCCAGGAGTCATGACCTGCCTTCTATAATACTAGGAGTGGATCTTGAGCTGGGGGAAGCTCTGCTCCGAGGGAATCCTCCAAACTGAGGGACTTTCAGGTTCTGAGGTCTGTGCGGGCACCCCAGAATATTAGTAGTGTACAGTGTGCTTGAAATTCTTAAGGTGAGGGGCACTCAGTGACTAGTGGAGGCTTCTTTGGCACACCCCCTACAAGACCCCATCTTTGGATTCCGAGCTTTGCCAGCACTCTTCTTGCTGCAGTGGGTGCTTCAGTGTGTGGCCAGGTTGCTGACAGACTTAATGGAACAATGCCCTTGGTTGAGACCAGGTAGCTTGGATAGTAGGGGGTTAGGATGTGACCATTCTCTGGACCAGCAGCAGGAGTGTTGTAAGTCCAGGTGTGGAACTCAGGACTGATCATCCATCTGGAGGAAGCTCTTAAATTTTGGCGTTTAGGGCTGATAAAAGGCTCAGCAGGTAAAGGCACTTGTTGCCAAGCCTGGTGAGTTTGATCCCCAGGACCACAAGGTGGAAGGAAAAAACTAATGCTCAGAAGTTGTCCTCTGATTTCTATGCTCTTCTGAGCACCACCCTAAACACAAATAAATAAATGTTTAAAAACTTTTGGAATCCAAGAAAAGGTAATTGAAACCTCAAGAATTCTTAAGAATTCCCACATTCATAGGGTATTTGATACTTTTCTTAATGTTTTATTTAAAATTTACATTATTTATGTCATTTTAACTAAACACAATAATAAGACAGTCATCTTTCTGTGGTAGGCTATACTAAGGGTCTCAGGATTGTCTCTATAAAAATGGTGGCTTGATTTTTTTTTTTAAGGGTTGAATAATAGGTGGGTGTGGTAGCACACACTTCAATCCCAGCAGAGGCAGGCAAATCTCTGTGAGACTGAGGCCAGGCTGGTCTGCATAGTGAGTTCCAGGCCAGCTGGGATGACAGGGAGATCCTATCTTTTTTTTTCTGTCTTTTTGAGACAGGGTCTCCCTGTAGCTCTACCTGGTCTGGAACTAGCTATGTAGACCAGGTTGGCCTAAAACTCACAGAGATCCACCTGCCTCTGCCTCCCAAGTACTAGGATTAAAGGCGTGAGCCCAGGCTGGCCTCAAATTCTCTGATCTTCCTGCTTCCATGTAACAAGTGCTGGAACTGCAAGCATGGGCCACCACTCTGAGTTATGAAGTGCTGGGGATCAGCTTTGTACATGCTGGGCAAACACTGTAACAACTAAGCTACATCAACAGCTCCAGAGGTTCTTAATTCTAATTCATGCAGACCATTTTTTTCTACATAAATACTGCTTTTGTATTTTATTTTTTTATTTTATTATGAGTATATTGCCTACATGTATGTAAGTGCACCCACATCATGTAATGCCCATGGAGGTCACAAGAGGATGTCAGATCCATTGAAACTGGAGTTATGGATGATTGTTAGTGGTCATATGGGTGCTGGGAACCAAACCCAGGTCCTCTGCAAGAGCAGCTACTAACTGCTGAGCCATTGCTCTAGCCTTGCTTTTGTATTTTCTTGAAGCAATACCATCCTGCTAAGAGATCATGGCCATCTTTTTAAAAACTCTGTTGTTTTGAAATTCTTTTTAAATTTATGGTCTGTGTGGGAATAATTGGGGCTAAGTATAATGTAGAAGGTTCTTTTATTAATATTTTATATTAATAAAAATAATGTTTTGCCTTTATGCATGTATGTACACCACATGTGTGGAGTGCCACTGAGTCCAGAAGATGGCATCAGATCTTTTGGAACTGGAATTATAGATGGTGGTGAGCTGCCATGTGGGTGCTGGGAACTGAACCTGGTTCCTCAGCAGGAACAGCCAGTCCTCTTAACCACTGAGCCATCTCTCTGGCTTCTAGAAATAAGGTTTATTTTTGTCTGTAGGGACAGTTGCAGTGCAGGTTCACTGTGCTCTACTTACCAACTGGTCTGGATCTGATGAGAGAATATTTACACACAAAGTGCATGAAACAGGTTTATTACATGAACTTGGCAGCAAGGGACAACAGGAGATTGGATTCATCCTCAGCTGGTCTCCAGGGTTCAAGAAGGCTCTGCTTAGTAACCTTGAATGCGGTCTGCATTGTGTCTAATACCACAGGGGACAGGACTGGCTGGGCCAAACAGCTAGAGAATATCCTATATCTAGGAGCACGGCATGAGCCCAATTGTCCTGATTTTCCCATCTCATCTCAGGAGCCAGCACATCCCATGGTGAACTGTGTGACTCCAAGGTTATCTGGATAGCTGTCCTGCAATAGTCAGTATAGCCAGAACCATCATTTCGAAAGGCCATGCTGCCCAAGGATCTGCTCTTGCAGAGGACCCAGGTTCAGTTCCCAGCACCCACATGGCAACTAATAACCATCTATAATTCCAGTTCCAGCATGGCTCTGGCTCCCAGAATCTGGAAAAGAAGTTGTTAGGCAGCCAGGTGGCAGTGCTGTCCAGGCCAACACAGACTTAGGACAACAGCCTGGCTGGGTGCTGGCTTAGGCCACACCCTATAGACTAGAGACAGGTAGTGCTGGTGAGCCTCCTGTCTTTTAGAATACTTGGTTCCAGTGAGGCCAGACACCCTACTCCCCCTCACCTAGATCTGCCCGTCCTGTGCTCTGTAAGAAAAAGCACTCTGTCTCCCTACATAGAACCCAAAACCTTTGGCAGAGAGAGATATGGTCAGTATGGTTTGCTAGCAGGAGCTGGAGCCTTGGCTGTGAACTCTTGGAACTCAAGAGCCTAGAACACTGTCAGGCTTGGGGGGTGGTTTATATTTCCATAACTGCCCCCTTAGTAGCCCCCAGGTCAGCCTAGAGCTGCAGGAGTACCCTGGATCCAGCCTGGGGTCAGGCTAGTAGCTCTGTGTTCTATGAAGCCAGATACCATCTGTCTAAACTTGAAGCTGTGACAGCCATGCTCCACAGTGGCCCTCTCAACTGTAAAGACACCCTTTCTCTTTATGCCTCTAAGAAACAGCTGCCAATTAAAATACCATTGCCAGATGCCAGACACAATGGCAATGTAGTCCTGTAGTCCTAGCTACTACAGTCCTGTATGCCTGTAGTCTTAGCTACTTGGAAGGCAGAGGTAGCTAGATTGTTTGAACTCAAGAGCTCAGCTTGGGCAACACAGTGAGACTCTGTTGCAAAACAAAAAAGTCTCTTATGGATTAACTTTTTTTTTGGTCTTTTTGAAACAGGGTTTCCCTGTAGCCCCAGCTGACCTGGAACTCACTATGTAAACCAGGCTGGCCTTGAACTCACAGAGATCTGCCTGCCTCTGCCTCCCGAGTGCTGGGATCAAAGGCGTCCGCCACCACTCCTGACATGGATTAACTCTTAATTACATACTCTTGAAGAGCTTGTTAAGAATGATTAAGTTGCCGGGCGTGGTGGTGCATGCCTGTAGTCCCAAGCACTTGGGAGGCAGAGGCAGGTGGATCTCTGTGAGTTCAAGGCCAGCTGGGGCTACAGGGAGACCCTGCTTCAAAAAGACAGAAAAGAATGATTAAGTCTTCCAGCACTCAGGAGGTGGAGGCAGATGGATCTCTGAGTTCAAGGCCAACTTGGTCTACACAGTAAGTTCCAAGCCAGCTGGGGCTACAGGGAGACCCGTCTCAAAAAGACAAAAAATAAATAAATAAATGATTAAGTCTCCCTGTGCATTATCACTGGCTTTTCTACATGGCATGAGTCTGCTAGGCCCTTTTCCACCCAGGGTTAGGATACTCCTTCACCACCACCAGGGACATGGTAAGGCCCCTTCCTTAGAGCGAGCACTGCTCTCTCTGCATTGCTCCTGAGCTCCTGGTGGCCTTTCCTTGGCTAACTGAAGAGACAAAAATGTGAAAAAATTACATCTGCATGTGAATGAACTGGATTGGGATCTAGACCACTTGAAATATGAATTGGGGGACTGGAGAGATGGTTCAGCAGTTAAAAGCACAGGTTGCTCTTGCAGAAGACCCAGGTTCCATTCCCAGCACCCACATGGCGGCTAGCAACTGCCTGTAACTCCAGTTTCAGGGGATCCAGTGCCCTCTTCTGACATCTGTGTGCATTGCATGACACAGGTACACTTACATACATGCAAGTAATATACTCATACACTTAAAATAATAAAAATAATAGATATAGATTGGGGAAGTTACAGTCTCAAGCTTTACTGTTGCATGCTGTCCTTACCTCCACTGTGTGTCCATACACTCAATGGCAGGGTCTTGCAGAAACTTGGTTCACATATCAACAGGAGACCAGGGTTTGGAGAGGCATCCAGGCTTGACTCATCCTCAAGACTGGCAGCCCCTGTGGGGAGCTGAACTAGGAAAAGGAGTGAACACTCTGGTCCCTTGTTTATCCTCAGAGGTAGCTTCCCTGCCAGGACAGACTTCTAAAATTGATGATTGTTCTTAGGTCCTGTTCTGCTGCTGACCAGTGACAACATCAAACAACGTCTCGGCTCTGCTGCTCTGGACAGGTGTGCCTTCAGCCCCTTTGTGGTCCCACATAGAAAAGCCTAGACAACCTCTACTTCTTCCTCTTAGCTGGCCTGGCATGGCACTGCCCCACTACCCCAATGCCTTGGTGTCTACATATTCTAGTATGTTCCTTGTCCAGCTATACACTGTACTCAAGATATATGCTGAGTAGAGGCTGGAGAGATGGCTCAGTGGTTAAGAGCACTGGCTGCTCTTGTAGAGGGCCCAGGTTCGGTTCCCAGCACCCACATGGCAACTAACAGCCATCTATAATTCCAGTTCCAGGGGATCTGACACCCTCTTCTGATCTCTGAGGGCCTTGCATGATGGATACACTTACATACACACATAGGCAATACCCTCATACACATGAAATAAAAATGAATAAAATATTTTTTAAAAGATACGTGCTGGGTCCCATCAGAGCTCCCAGAGGACCAACTAGGCCCATACCCCTCCTTATCATATGGGCAGACCTGCATCCTACCTTCCCTTGAATCCCTAATATCCAGGCCTGGCCATAGCCTCTGCTCAACTATGTAGGCCCCGGCACCGCTCTGCTGTTCTATGGGAGGGGGTGCTAACAAAGATGCCAATCCTCTCTGAGGAGGAACCTCTGGGAGCCTCCATAGAAGGTGATATGCTACCTCATGGCTTGCAGTATCCATGAGTACCGGCTGTCCAGTTGGCTAGGGCAGCAGGAGGACATCCACCGGATTGTGCTGTACCAAACAGACAGCACACTCACACCCTGGACCCAGCGCTGCATCCGTCAGGCTGACTGCATCCTCATTGTGGGCTTGGGTGAGCAAGAGCCAACGGTGGGTGAGGTGAGTGCCTGGAGGAGCCTTCCATCTTCAGAACCCTGTTCTCTTTCTTTTGGGGTACAGTTTAGACAGGGCCTCCCTGTAGCCCCAACTGGCCTAGAACTGGCTATGTAGACCAGGCTGGCCTTGAACTCATAGAGATCTACTGCCTCTGTGAGTGCTGGGCTCAAAGGCGTGCACACAACTTAGAAAGCTTTTGCTATATTGATTTCTAGTAATTGAATAGAAATAATGCCCTATTTTATATCATTCTGAAATTTCTTTTTTCATCAATACTTAGGATTTTGAGGCTTATCCTCTTGTTCCTCCCCTTTTTATAGCTACTTGGCTTTCCACCTGTGAGCACCCCATACTCAGTTCATGCATCCTCAGCCAATGGGCTATGATGTTATTCATAGCAAAAGTCTTGTGCAAGGTGCCTTCAGGTGCCTACAAATTGCTGACCCTGGAGGATGTGTGTGCATTGACTAGATGTTACCAAGTTGCTTTCCTGGTTCCTTTCAGTTTTCCTTTGTTCATGGAGACAGGTGTGGCTGATAGGCTCCATGTCCTTCCCAGTCCTGGGCACTGTCAGTCTGTTCATTTTCCTAAGCTTTGCAGTATGAAGTGGTACTTCTTTATTCAAGTTAGTGTTCCCATCTCCTCTCTGCTCTATCTGCTCTGCTCTCGTCTCAAGCTTCTGCCCTGCCTGTGTGATCCTAGGGTAGCTAACATCATCCCCTCTGGTGTATGTTCCCTTTCTGCAGGAGGAATGCTGTCATATAGGGGCAGTTGCCTCAGAAGTACATCATTTGTGAAAGTCACAGCATGCATTCATGAGGCAGTATTAGGAACATAGGAGGAGGCACTCTTCTTTCATACCCCTTGCAGCCATGCTGGCCACTAAGCACACACAGTGGGTAGACCATGTGGTCAGGGTGAGAGCACCCCAAGGATGGGACATGTCATAGCCTAGCTACTTGTTAGGTCATGCACAGTCTGTCTTTTGTGGGATCAGCTGTCAGAGCAATGTCCAGTATAGACCTTGGTGATAGCTCTATGTTGGTCCTTGGCTCTATCCTATGCTCAGTCCTGAGGTTGGCCAGGCCCTATTCTTCCCCAGCTGGAACGGATGTTGGAGAACACAGCTGTGCGTGCCCAGAAGCAACTGATCTTGCTGCACAAAGAGGAGGGCCCAGTGCCAGCCCGCACTGTGGAATGGCTCAACATGCGGAGTTGGTGCTCTGGCCACCTGCATCTCTGCTGCCCACGCCGTGTCTTTTCCAAGAGGAGTCTGCCCAAGCTGGTGAGGCCTTGTGGGCTGGCTCATTGGGACTTAGCCCTGACTGCAGCATTCCTGGCCTTCTCATACACATTCAGAACTTTCTTTCTCTCTACATGATCAGGGCTTGTGGGCTTTGGTTGGGCTTGCTTCTGAGCTCTGGCTATGATCTGAACTTTGAGATTCTTGGGCCATCATAAAATTCCATGCCTTACAGATAAGGAGAGGCATAGCATGGTGGAGACACAAGCACAGAGAGGTCATCAGGTCCTGGGAACCAGTGAAAGTAGAATGATGGGCCTGATGGAACAAAGGCTGAGAGTCTCACATTCAGAGATCTCATGGTTAGGTCACCACCCCACCCCTCCAGGACAGAAGCAGACAGAAGTCCTGAGATACCTCTTCCTCGGGGCATCCTTAGTTCTTTGCACTGGGGGCAAGCTAGGTGGTAGGGGGCTAAGGCTGCCCACACGCCATAACCCACTCAGCCCCCACAGTTCAATGGACACTATCTTGCTGACTGCATCTTTGCCCAAACACCATGATCCTGTGAGCACTATTTGCTTAAAGGACCAAATGGAGAGACTCCTGTGAGGACATCCTGAGGGGCTCTGGTCTCTGAACCCATTTGCCCTCTGCCTGCACCCTTAAGTGAGGGTGCTGTTGAAGCTGTGTCCTGGAAATGGCAGGATTTTGTTCAAATCAGGACACACAGAGTTCTAGCTGGGGAAATATACAAACCTCTGTTTTCCTTTGGTTCCTCTCAGGTTGAGATGTACACACGCGTTTTCCAGCGACCCCCAGACCGGCACTCAGACTTCTCCCGCCTGGCAAGGGTACTGACAGGCAATGCCATTGCCTTGGTGCTTGGAGGGGGTGGAGCAAGGTGAGCCCCCACCCAGCTATGTGCCACATTTGTAGGGGTGACAGTCAGTCCCACAGGCTGTGTGCTGGGTACTGGGAAGACAATAGTATGGTGCCATGGATGAAGTCCCTGCCATCCTCAGGAAAGAGTCCCCGTGGATGGCAGAGGTGTGACTGGCATGTCAAAGTACCTAGGTGCATGTTGTATGTATAGCCCAAATGGGCTGGGTTTCACTGTTCCTAGTTTGGAAGAAAGTGTATTATATGACTGTCTATGCTTAGAAGTATTTGGTTATCCATGTGTTTCTTCTTTAAAAACTCTGTGTTTTTGTCCTTTGCTAGTTCCCCATTGGGCTCTGCATGAGGCTCTTTCCATCTTAATATCTATTCTATAGTGCAATGACCTGATCTGCTCACAAACTAGAGAAGTATTCTTTAGTTCTTTGGGCTATGGATTCCTTAAAGGATTTTTAGCCCAAATAATTCTTGCCCTGAGTAGTCATCTGACCCTTCTGAGCTGAAAAAGAAATGGAGGCATATGTGTTATGAGGAGGATAAAGTAGTATATGCCCCTTCTGGCAACCTGGATATGAACGAAGAGGCAGACCAGACACCACATCTCCCCAGGAAGAGGAGCGTTGGGGAATTGGACCTCTTGTTCAAACTGGTGGTAAAGTGACATCACTGTATCCATTGTGTCTTGATGCCCTAAGGAAGCTGGCCCAGAAGAGTGAGGTGATGGCCTGATTTGTCAAGCATGGAAGAGGCCCTGGTTCTTTCTGTGGGTCCAGACAGTGAAGGCTCAGAGCAGTTAGGTCCAAAACCAGTCATGGCTTGCAGGTCAGGCCAGCAGCATTTTCAGTGAATCTACCACTTTACTCAATGTGTACTTAGAAGCCATAAGGTTCCATAAGGCACACACAATAAACAGTCCTTTGCCAGACCCTGTTGGTGCCAAGTCTAGACATTTGTCAGAAATAACCACTTTCAACTCTTTTTGGATATCTACTTGTCTGTATTCTAAGCAGCATTCATGTCTGACTAATTGTGTGGTTCCTTCAGTTTTAGATTCCTGACTTCCTACCCCTCCAACAAGCTGTATCTCTCGGTCCCTATGTACCCTCATCTGTCTGTAACTCTACCTCTGTTCCTCATTCTCATGATCCTCATGAGGTTCCCCACTGCTACATCCAGTACTCACTGTACGTAGCATTGTGAGGACATAACTTTTCCAGAACTAAGTCTTATCCATGGGACCGTGCAATCACTTTTTCTTCTCCAGAGTTCATAATTATTTCATTTGTTTCTGCTTGTTTCCTGATGTCATCTGTGCACTCCACAGACACTGCTAGAAGCATTGGTGTCTGCTCCAAAGGTTCAGACAGACCAGGCCACCTCTGTTAAGTTGTTCAGGGTCACACTTTCTCCAGCCCATCAGCCCCGTCATCTCTGCTAGTTGCTTTCCATCACACTGTTAGGATGTTGTCCTGGAATTTTCCTTTACCCTCCTCCTGGCAAATGCCTTTGTTTTTCTCTTGTGTCCATCTCCTGCATCCCATGTCTTCCTCTGTACACAAAGTTCCTTGTGGGAGATAAAAAGTTGTTAACACCAGACCTATCAGGACACATTCTTTTTTTTTTTTTGGTCCTTTTGAGACAGAGTCTCCCTGTAGCCCCAGCTGTCCTGGATTCACTATGGAGACCAGGCTGGCTTCGAACTCAGAGATCCGCCTGCCTCTGCCTCCCAAGTGCTGGGATTAAAAGTATGTGCCACCACGACCGGCTCAGGATACATTCTTACTCTGCTCTCATACTTGAGTGATAGTTTGACTGGTCATGGAACTCTAGATGGAAATTATCTTCTCTGAGTTTTTCAGCATGATTACATTGTGTGTGTAGCTCCTGTGTTGTTGAAATTATCAATGCTATTTTTATTCTGGCTCTCTTTTGGAGTCTTATGTTTTGGAAGGCTCTGATGATGTCTCGGTAGTGCTGATGTTCTCACCCGTGACCCTGAACTCCACCTGGGTCCTTTCAAATTTGGAAACTCATGAGTTTCAATTCTGGGAAATGCTTTATTTTAAAAAATAATGTTTGCTTTTTTCTGTTCTCTCACCCTAGAACTTCTAAGACTGTATTCTAGTAGGATCCTCTGAGTCTCATTTCTTTTCTTTTTTTATCTCTGTGTTTTTGTTCTGTTTTCTTTTAGATTTTTTCAAATATTTTTCATCTATTCTTTCCTGCTAAAATACTTTAACATTGGATTTTTTTGGTTTTTTGTTTTGTATGTTTTGTTTTGTTTTGGTCTTTTTGAGATAGGGTCTCCCTGTATCCGCAGCTGGGTGGGATGCTCTGTGTAGACCAGGCTGGCCTTGAACTCACAAAGATCCACCTATGCTGGGATTAAAGACATGTGGTACCACACCTGGTATTGTTTTTTGTTTTAGCAATAAAAACTTTATTGAATTATGAATTTTAAAATGGAACACTTAATTTAAAAGTGGAACTATTTTAACCTTATTCTTTCAAAAATGTTCTTTTTTTTTTTGGTCTTTTTGAGACAGGGTCTCCCTGTAGCCCCAGCTGGCCTGGAACTCACTATGTAGACCAGGCTGGCCTTGAACTCACAAGGATCTGCCTGCCTCTGCCTCCCGAGTGCTGGGATTAAAGGCGTGTGCCACCATGTCCGACTAAAATGTTCTTTATTTTATTTTATTTTTTAAAATATTTTATTTATTATTTTTAGTATATGCATGTATTGCCTGCATGTAGGTAAGTGCACCCGTGTCGTGTGATGCCCACGGAGGACAGAAGAGGTTGTTGGATCCCCTGGAACTGGAGTTACGGACAGTTGTTAGCTGCCATGTGGGTGCTGGGATTTGAACCCGGGTCTTCTGCAAGAACAACCAGTGTTCTTAACCACTGAGCCATCTCTCCAGCCCCAAATGTTCTTTATTTTTAAAGTGATAGGAACTACCCATAGGCCAATTCTTAATATGGACATTTAAATGTTCATGTCAAAATGATCTGGGCCAGGCGTGGTGGTACACGCCTTTAATCCCAGCACTGTGGAGGCAGAAGTAGGTGGATCCCTATGAGTTCAAGGCCAGCCTGGTCTGCATAGTGAGTTCCAGGACAGTTGGGGCTACAGGGAGACCCTGTCTCAAAAAGATCTGTAGATAAGAAATGAGAAAAAGAGCACTTTTTAAGACAGAGTCTCCTTATGTGACCCAGATTGGCCTAGAGTTTGAGATTCTCCTGCCCCAGCCTCCCAAGAGCTGGGATTACAGGTGTACATCTTCGTGCTCTATTCCCTCACAGTCTTCTCTTTGTTTTACTAATACAGTGTTGTGTTGAGGCCATCAATAGCACATCTTTTACTTGCTGACTTAGTTGTTTGCCTGCTTAAATTTTCTCATATGCACTCGTGAATATGGCTTTGTCCACTCACCATGGTGTTTGATGCTGGTGTTCTTGATGGTATACAGAGGTATGGCTGGGCAGTATTCCGTCATCACTGTGCTTTGCAAACTCTTATTTCTGGTAAGATGTTTGGATTGTTTTCTAGTTTCAGTTATTAGGAACAAAGTTGTAATCACTATTCTCTTTGTGGATGTGTGTTTTCTTTTCTCTTAGGCAGATAACTAGGAGTGGCATTACCTGACCATGGGATAGTGATACTATTTATGCCTCCCATAGCCATGTAGGAGAGCTCAGTTTACCTCTTCCTGTTTATCCTTGGTATTGTCAGAATTTAAATTGTAGCCACTCTAATGGGTGTGCAGTGTTGCTTCATTTGATTTGAATTTGGAACTCCCTGAAGCTAATGATGTGAGGCTTACTCTCTTGTACTTCTGAGCCATTTGTGCCTTTTTCTTTTGTGACATGACCATTTGAGGGCTCTAACCCATTTTGAATAGCTTGTTTCTTATTTTTGAGTTGGAGAAATTCTTTCTATATTCTGATGACAATTCTTTCTCAATGGCGTCTTTGAATGAAGCTTTTAATTGTGTGTGTGTGTGTGTGTGTGTTTGTGTGTGTGTACATACATGCACATGCTCGTATATGGTTAGGTGCACGAGGGGAGCAAAGAACAACCTCAGGTGTGGTTCCTCAGTCACCATATACCCTTTTTTTTTAAATAGAGTCTCTTAATGGCATAGAACTTGTCAAATAGTCTAGGCTTCCTGGCCAGAAAGTTCCAAGGATCTTCCTGTCTCCACTTCCCCAGAGCTGGGATTACAAATACATTCTACTGTGCTTGGATTATTTATTTATTTATTCATTTATTCATTTATTTATTTATTTATTTATTTATTTATTTATTTATTTATTTATTTATTTATTTTGTCTTTTCTGCCTCTGCCTCCCGAGTGCTGGGATTAAAGGCGTGCACCACCACACCTGGCTAGTTATTTTTTGATGGTAGGTTCTGAATATTAAACTCAGTACTTTTACTTCCTGAATTATCTCCCTAGCTCTAAAACTTTAAAGTTTTGAGGGTGATTTCCATTTTGTTTTGTTTTGTTTTTTGAGACAAGGTCTCACTATGTAGCCCTGGCTGGCTTAGAACTCACGTAGATCTGCCTGCCTCTGCCTCCAGAGTGCTTTGTTTTGTTTTTTGAGACAAGATCTCACTAGATTTCCAATTTTTTAAAAAAATTTTTATTTCTTATTTTTATTTTATGTGTATGAGTGCATTGCCTGCATGGATGTGAGTGCATGTACCACGTGTTCGCAGTGCCTTTGGAGGCCAGAAGAGGAGGTTAGATTCCCTTGGAACTTGGGTTGTTAGTAACTGTGTGGGTGCTGGGAACTGAACTCTTGTCCTTTGCAAGAGCAGCCAATGCTCTTTACCTTTGAGCCATCTTTCCAGCCCCTAGATTTCCAATTTTTTATGGTCATTACTTCCTGAAAGTTTTTGCCTACTCCAAGGTCACAAACGTCACAGATCTTCTAGATCTATGATTCCAAATATATATCTGTGACCCACTAATATGTGCCTTTTCCTGAGGAGACTTAGAAAAATGTCTGCTTACCTCAGACATGGAACCCAAAAACAGACTAAAGAAGTGGTTTTAAGTCATCACCGTGCTGGGTGAGACTTGTCAGTGATGCAGCTGCTTTTGAGTCATACGTGTTCCCATGAATACCTCTTACTTGTGTTCCTATAAGTAACCTCAATTAACTCATTAGTTTGCCAAGTTAGACTTAAATAAAACTGCTTATGATGATGGGTATAGCCCTTCTGATGTGTCATCTGACCACCTAGTGTGTGTACATCAAGGGACCAGCAGACAAAGAGCTCTCCACTGTCCCTGAAGCTTCAGCTCAGCTAGGTCCTCATGTGTAATGTGGGCGAAAATGTCACTCCATTTGTTTCTCCAGACCCTTTCCTATACCTCCACAACTCAGTTCTGCTCAGCTGGGCTGGGCTGGGCTGGGCTCAGCTCAACTCAACCCTCTTGCTTTACAGTCCTGAAGCTCTGCAACTACACTGCTAATATTTCATTGATAACTACCTGCAGTGATTCTTTGCATCTATATCTACTCTCTGCCTCTGCCTCCAGTAGGTCCTCTTCAGCCCTTTTATAGCCATTCTGTAAAACACACACACACACACACACACACACACACACGCACGCACGCACGCACGCACGCACATATGCATGCAAACAAAAACACACACGGTACAAAGTATGATCTGAGAGTTAATATTAATTAGTAATTAAGATTGAGACACACATAGTATACTTACATTCAGGCAAAACACTCATACACATAAAATAGAAATAAATAAAATCTTTTTAAAAATATTGCAATAAGGGGCTGGAGTTCAGCAGTTAAAAGTACTGACTGCTCTTGGGGAGGACGTAGGTTCTGTTCCTAGCACCCACATGGTATCTAACAACTGTCTGTAACTCCAGTTCCAGGGGATCCAACATCCTTTTCTGGCCTCATCAGGCATTGCAGGACATGGGTGCACTTACATGCATGCAAACAAAACACCCATACATATATATATAAAATAAATAAAAAGATTGCAATAAAAGAGCATGGGATAACCAGCTATCAAGGGAAATCAGCCATATGTGGTAAATTGCAACCAACAAAACCAAAATAGCCAGGGCTGGAGAGATTGCTCAGAGGTTAAGAACTGGCTGTTCTTGCAGAAGACCCAGGTTCGAATCCCAGCACCCACATGGCAGCTAACAACTGCCATAACTCCAGTTCCAAGGGATCTGATGGCCTCTTCTGTCCTCTGCGGGCATCGAATGTGCACTTACATACATGCAGGCAATATGCTCGTATACATAAAGTAAAAACAATAAATAAAAAAAATTTTGTCTTTTTGAGACAGGGTCTCCCTGTAGCCCTAGCTGTGCTAGAACTCACTATGTGGACCAGGCTGGCTTCAAACTCACAGAGATCCGCCTGCCTCTGTCTCCCAAGTGCTAGGATTAAAGGCGTGCACCACCACGCCCAGCCAAATAAAATATTTTTTTAAAAAAACAAACTAGCTTGTAAATTTATTGTTATTCAATAAATTCTGATGTAGAAAGACAAGCTTGTCTGTGTTTCTGGCACAGTGTGCTTATGACCCTGAGGAGGAAGAGAGTAAATTTGAGGCCAGCATGGACAATAGTGTCTCAAAAACTAATCAAGAACAGAAATTAAAGAACCATAATCTAGGTATACATTAAAGCAAAAGTGGGTGCTTTGAAAAAATAATCAAGGAAAGAAAAGAGTCAGGCAGGGAAGGTCATGTGAGAGTCACGTAAGTAATCATAGCTGCTCTGATTTCAAGACAGCAGTAGTCATGTTACGCTGGCAGGACAGAGTGATACCATGTCTATAATCTGTGATCTAATCTGCTAGATCATTCATTGGTTTCTTCATCAGTTTTGTATGTCATGTCTACAGTCTGATTATGGATTCTGCTTATAGTTCCCCATTCTGTGGCACTTATCAATCCTGTCTTTAGTTTCTTCAGCTCTTGTTTTAAGAGTTCTACTTATTTTTTCTGGTGATATTACATATACTTTTTTTTATTGTGTTAAATGTATACACAGTAGGGGCTGGAGAGATGGCTTAGTGGTTAAGAGCCCTGGCTGCTTTTCCAGAGGACCCAGGTTTAGTTCCCAACACAAGACACTCAGACACATAAAAAATAAAAATAAATTAAAGCTTTTAATGTACACACAATAAAATTTGACATTTTAATCATTTTATAAAAGTATTTATTACTTTATGTGTATAACTGTATTACCTGCATATATGTAAGTGCATCCATGTTGTACAATGCCCACAGAGGTCAGAAGAGGGTGTCAGATCCCCTGGAACTGGAGTTAAGGACAGTTGTTAGCCACCATGTGGGTGCTGGGACCTTAACATGGGTTCTCTGTAAGAGTAGCCAGTGCTTTTAACTGCTGAGCCATCTCTCCAACTCCCATTTTAATCATTTTTGAGGGCAAGTAAATACATTTACTGAATGTCAGGACTATTCCTCTCTAAAAAAAATTTTTTTTTGAGACAGGCCTCATTCTGTAATCCCACCTGACCTGGTGCTGGCTGTGTAGGCCATCCTATGCTGGCTTAGATCTCATAGCAATCTGCCCGCCTTTGCCTCCTGAGTGCTGGGATTAAAGGCATGTGCCACCATGCCTGGCTTAAAGAAAAAAAATTTATGTATTTGAATGTTTTGCCTACATGTATGTGAGTGTACCCATGTATGCAATGTCCATGGAGGCCCAATGAAGGTGTCAGATCCCTTGGAACTGGAGTTATGGATGGTTGTTAGATGCCATGTGGATGCTAAGACCTGAACCTTGGTTCTCTGGAAGAGCAGTCAGTGCTCTTCCCTGCTGAGCCATCATCTCTCCAGTCCCTAGAATATTTTCATAATCCCAAATGAACTCTCTACTCATTCATTACATACTACTATTCCCCTCAACCTCTGGTAACTATGACTTTACTTTCCATATTCATGAATTTGTCTATTATAGGTTCCTCATATAACACCAATCATAGAATATTTGTCCTTTTGTCCTGTCTCCTTTACTAAACATATTAATGTATACAGCACTTTGTTCACCCGTATTTCTATTCTTGGACACAGACCATTTCTACCTTTTTAAATATATGTGGTACTGGGAATCAAACCTAAGTCCTCGCACGTGGCAAGCAAATGCTTTACCACTGAGCCACATCTTCAGTCCCTGGGTCCTGCTTTTGGTTTTCTTTTTATTTTTAGAGACAGGGTCTCACTGCATAGCCCTAACTGGCTTGGAACTCAGAGATCTGCCTGCCTCTGCCTCCAGAGTGCTGGGATTAAAGGTGTGGACCACAGCACCCAGACAGTGTATATTTTAAATCTTGTCTTGTGGTCATGAGGTCTTTTTGTTCTCTTTGACTGGTTATTTTTGGTTCATTGGTAGCATGAAATTTAGCATGTAAATGACAGCAGTATTTTCAGGTTATGGGTCATAATTTCAGTCTAGGTTTGAAGAAATGGGAAACTGGATTTCTGGTCTCTGTGAAGGCTAGTCCATTTCCAAGTTACCCTGACTTCTAGGATGGCCTTTGGGGTGTTTACCAGAGCCCCTTCTTTCCAGTTTTACCTCCTCACAAGTGAAGCAAAAGTGTGTTCAGCTTCTCAGCCTCTTGTAATGCTATGTTATAGTCAGCAGTAGGCAGAAAAAGCTACAAGCTAGTTCTCCTTAGTAAACCCCTACTTCCGCAGTTCAGCCCCCCACAGTCCTGTGCGCCTCCAGGGAGAGGAATTTTAAATTACACTTAGATGCCTTCTCTAAGTCAGTGTCTTTGCCTCACTGTGGTCTTGCAAGAGTCAGATACTGAGGAGGGAGGAACAGGCAGGTGCTGGGTAGCTACCTCTGGGGCAGGCCAAGGGCAGCCTGACAGTCGTGCTTATTTCCTTTTTCTGTTCTTAATGGTGAAGAGGCTGTGCTCAGGTAGGTATCCTCAAGGCCCTAGCGGAGTGTGGCATCCCTGTGGACATGGTTGGAGGAACATCCATTGGGGCTTTCATGGGTGCCCTATTTGCTGAGGAACGGAGCTACAGCCAGATGCGGATCCGGGCCAAGCAGTGGGCAGAGGTAAGGAAGAACCCACCACCCTTAGGATGGCTCTAGTCTCAAGGAGGCAGCCATGCAGGTCAGAGCATAGCCTGTGGGGCAAAGGGGGAGCATAGAGAAGTAAAGGATTGGGCAGGTGGTGGGAGGTGGCCTGAGGTGGGGAGGCTGAGATAGGTGGCAGGGGGTGGGGTTGGACTGAGTGAGGTAAATGGGCAGGGGATGGTCTGAGGTAGGCAGGGGAGAGGTTGAGGTAGATGGCAGGATGTGGCCTGAGGTAGGTGGTGAGGTGGTCTGAGGTCATAGGGTAGTCTGGGGTCTATGATGCGAGGTGGTCTGGTTTGTGCTGTAGTCTTAACTGATGGCGGTTACTAAGTGACAACATGGAATGCCACTGGAAGGGAGGTTAGTGTTACCCATAGTACCAGGAAACAAGTCACAGCTGCAGGCAGGGAGGCAAGGGAGAACTAGGGCCAGTCAGAATCAGAAAAGTATGCTGGCCTCCAGTTTCTAAAGCAAAGGCAAGGCAGGATAAGCAGCTTTGAACTGGTTAGTGTTGCTCATTCCAGCAAACCTAGAGGCGGGTCCCCTGGTCTCTGGCCCTAGATAATTTTGAGGAGGGGACTGTTGGCTTGGTATTATTCAAACCAGGGAGGGGCTAGGTGTGGGCTCTGGGCTGCGCAGAAGATGTAACCTCCGCTATTAGTCTAGCTTTGTCATAAATGGACATCAGAATCAAAACATCAAACAGAATCAAAGAAAACAGAACAGGTTCCCTCAGCTTCAAGTCCCCAGCAGGAAGCTCATGACCCTCTCAGGGCTGGCTGCTTCTGTGGAACAGATAGAACCCTACTGAAACCTTATGTGGGATCAAAGACATTTCTCTCTTTTTTTTGGGGGGGGCGGTCTTTTTGAGACAGGGTCTCCTTGTAGCCCCAGCTGTCCTGGAACTCACTATGTAGACCAGGCTGGCCTCGAACTCACAGAGATCCACCTGCGTCTGCCTCCCGAGTGCTGGGATTAAAGACGTGCGCTACCACATCTGGCGACATTTCTCTTTCTTAAAAGAAAAATGGCCATCCATGTAGAGGCTGAGGGGTGGGCTGTCTACTATGTTCACGGTGCTGGGGATATGGCTAGGGGGCTCTGTCCAGAAACATTTTTTCCATGGAATGAGTGTCCATCAACAGAGAGGGCCTAGTGATACATTCTGTTCTTAGTGATGTATCAGCAGTCATTAGGGGTGGCCTCTAAGAGCAGTGACCACAGGGAAATGTGTCCAGCAGGTACAAGACAGCTTAGAATGCAATCACAGGCTGGGAAGCCCAGCCAAAGACCTGTGGGAGGTCTTCTCCCTTCCCTCCCCGTGCTTGTCTGCTGCTGAGGATTGGGCATGAGAAGGGTCAGGGCACTTTGGGCTGCGCTTCTACCATCCTGAGAGTAAACTAAGATCTGGAACCTTGCCTGGGTGGCCACTTTGTAGGAGGCTCCTCCTAGGCATAATGGGAATGGAGTCACAGACATACCTAACGCACCATGCATGCTGAAGAGACTGATGGCAGCGGGGACATTTTGTACTGGGCAGAGGCTTCCTGGGGAATGAATTTAGGCCCTGGGAAGAATCCTAAGCCATAGTATTCCTTGTTGTCTTTGCCCCTTTTTTGTCTCAAGGAAAGGTCTTCACTTCACAAAGCTTTTGAGCGCTGGGCTCTTCTTGCTATCCCTTTCATTAATGGTTGCTCTATCCAGGCTGGTGCTCCCTGTTCTGTGTAGGTAAATTTGGAGGCCAAGGGCAAAAGGGTATGCTAGAGCCCTCAAGGGTTCAACTGGCAAGGCCTGGCTGGGTGGGGGCATTGTGCTATGTGAGGCTATGTCCTAGCTTCCAGGCCCTGGGAGCTTCTGTTGGCCTCTCTGCCTATTCTGAGGCTCGAGCCCACAGGTTGTGTTCTCCTGCGACTCCTGGCAGTTGGGTCTGTGGATTGTACTTGATGCCTACATTCTGCTTTGTTTTAGGGGTTTGTTTTGTTTTATTTTTTGAGACGGGCTCCCTGCAGCCCCAGCTGACTTGAAACTCACTATATAGACCAGACTGGCCTTAACTCACAGATATCTGCCTGCCTCTGTCTCCCGAGTACTGGGATGCCTCTGTTCTGTTGCAGAAAGCATGTGCATGTGTCCATGTCCTGCTCCAGTAGGGTTTCACAGGTCAGAGTGTGAACTCCTCAGTAAAGGTCATTCGTGTTTCCAGGATATGACATCCATGGTGAAGACCATACTGGACTTGACCTACCCAATCACGTCCATGTTTTCTGGAACTGGCTTCAACAGTAGTATCAGCAGCATCTTCAGAGACAGGCAAATTGAGGTGTGTCTCCTGACCATTCCTAGCTTGCATTGGATGCTCAGTAGCCTTGACCCCATCCTCCTCTCCATCTGGCCCTAGATTGACCTTGCCAGTGTGGGAGAAGGAACAGTGTGAGAGGAGGTTCCCTCTGAGTCTTGTCCTCCCCACAGGATCTGTGGCTCCCCTACTTTGCCATTACTACCGACATCACAGCCTCTGCAATGCGGGTCCACACAGATGGTGAGAACCTCCTCCAGCCAAAAGCACCACCGGGTCAACTCAGCTGAGTCAGCAGCTCTAAGGGTTCAGGCATGCATGTGAGCATGGAAATTGTAGAGAGAACTGAGGGTCTCACAAAGGAAGCAAGAGTCACAGGCACATTTGTAGAGAATGCCCCTGTCACAGGCATCCTGGGTAGAGTGGGGCAATCAGGACTGAGGATATCAGCGGGGATAGAAGGGCCCCCTGGAAGAGTAGAATGAGAGGGGCCTTTGCCTGGGCAAAGTGGGATATCTAGAGATCTCAGAGGAAAACCTTATTGCCCTCCCTTTCATGAGAAAACCCTTCAGGGGTGAGAGGTCTGGTGCGAGTCAGTCTGTCAAACCTGGTGTCCTTCCTGGAGGTAGGTCCTATGGGCTCTCAAACTGACTGAGATGAGACTCTGATCCTCCAGTTCAGGACAGAAACCTATAGAAGACAGGGAAAGGTTCTGTTCTGGCTCCTTTCCCACTAGACCTTGATTCTCTAGGCTCACTATGGAGGTATGTCCGTGCCAGCATGTCCCTGTCAGGCTACATGCCCCCACTCTGTGACCCCAAGGATGGACATTTGCTGATGGATGGGGGTTACATCAACAACCTTCCAGGTACTGCAGAGGGTGAGGGAGTGCTTGCCTGCTTATACATGGCTCTTTGGTCATTCCACCCTGTGGCTGCCTGCCACAGTCGCCTCCACACCAGGAAGGCTGGGGTGGTACACGTTTTCCTTAGAGTGTGCCAAGAGAAAATGTCAGGCTGGCAGCAGCGCACAGAAACCACATGCGCATGTGCCCATGCGTGCACATGCGCACAGCATCCTCCCAGCATATGGCTCTGCCTGTTAGCACAGCAGCAGCAGAACAAAGGCCAAGAAGATAAACTAGGAGCAATTGATTTCCATCTGTGCCCACAGTCAGGAACTAAAAGCTCGCAGGTGTTGGGTGTGCTACGAGTGAGTCCACACCTGCTACCTGTTGGATACATGTTCAGAAGGGCCCAGAACGGTTTGGTGCACATGGCTGCATACAAGGTAGGGCATTTGTTTTCCTGCCTCCACAGGCCTAGGAGTAACATTAGATCAGGACCATATAGTCCCCAGGCAGAGACACTCAAAAAAACAGAACCTGCTTAGAGCTTAGTGAAACAGGGTCTGCCTCCCACTATGTACTGCCCAGTCCACTTGAGGTGCTACCCCGTCCCCTAGTTGAACATTCTTGACATGGATGGTGACCAGACTGTACTGTCTTCTCCATAGCGGATGTGGCCAGATCCATGGGGGCAAAGGTGGTGATTGCCATTGACGTGGGCAGCCGGGATGAAACAGACCTCACCAATTATGGCGATTCCTTGTCTGGGTGGTGGCTGCTTTGGAAACGCTGGAACCCCTTGGCCACAAAAGTCAAGGTAGGATTGGTGCCAGGTAGACTGGATAGCTTCCCTGGGACTTATGCCCTCATCCCCCATGTACCAGCCCTGTCAAAAGAAAAGTGGGAGCACCTCCCAAGCCAAGAGTCCAGTAAATCTGGGTTCATACTGTTGCCTGTGGTCTGGGACTAGTCTGAAATAAGAGGGCAGGGCCACAGGATTTCATAACTCACCAGGTCACATCTTCAGGACCCTGACTCAGAGCCTGTCTTGTTCCTCAGTCAGGAGAGATGGGGAGAGAGGACTAGGGTAAGAGACCCAAGCATATCTTGGCAGGTGTTGAACATGGCTGAGATTCAGACCCGTCTGGCCTATGTGTGCTGTGTCCGGCAGCTGGAGATGGTGAAGAACAGTGACTACTGTGAATATCTGAGGCCCCCCATTGACAGCTACCGCACCCTGGACTTTGGAAAGTTCGATGAAATCTCTGTGAGTGTCAGCAACTGGCTGCAGGAAAAGAGGGGTTGAGGGTGTCAGCTCTTGTAGCTGCCACCTCTCCAGCCTCTTTTCTGAGAGCATGAGGAGGCGGGCCTGATGGGGCTTACTGTGTGCACAGGAAGTTGGGTATCAACATGGACGGACAATATTTGACATCTGGGTTCGGAGTGGTGTACTAGAAAAGATGCTGCAGGACCAGCAGGGGACAAGCAAGAGGAAGGACTGTGAGGTGAGAAGCAGGATGGAGGGTCTGAGTAGGGTAGGGGTCCATAGCCCTCTAGACTGAGCTGGCAGCATTGTGTGCATCCACCATGCTGGTGTGGCAGCAGCCTGAGACAGGTGGTATGCTGAGTAGCTGTGCTTTCTTCCACCTCATTCTAGGTCCTCACTTGCCCCAATGCCTCTTTCACGGACCTTGCCGAGATCGTGTCACGCATTGAACCAGGCAAGGTGGCTGCAGTGGACGGTGAGTTGGATATGCAGGAAGTGGGCCAGAATAACAAAGGTTGGGACAGGCCAGGGGGAAGTGGGCCCCATTACTCATATGGACCATCGCCCTTGCCCTAGAAACTCAACCATTGCTGCCCCATTGTTTCAAGACCCTAAGATGTTCTGTCCAGCCCAAGAATCCCCACAGCAGCGGGACTGCCTCCTAGGCCAAGCAGGCTTTCCCCCCATTCCATATTATCCTAACTACACCGCAGACCTGGAGGGGAGCCCACTAGCAGAGCCTACAGAGGGCCAGGTCCAATAACCACTGTACTCTTGCCCTATGGCCCTGCAGTGGGACCAGCAACCACTATTCCCACTCTGTTCTCATCTTGCAACAGAAGAGCATATCCTATCTTAAAGGGGAACCCGAGATAAAAGCCCCAGGCACTGAGCTGCCTATGCTAGGGAAGACAAATAGGACACACTGGGGAGTGAGGTAGACAAAGCCAGATGTGATGTGTCTCTAGATCTGTTGCAGCTTCTCTTGGTAGTCCTGGGACTGCATGGATGGCTGTGTATGGGAACCTGTGCTACCATGGAGATGGGGGGTGGAGAGTCTGTGGACATGTTCTGCCTCAGTTTTAGCTATGCTGGGCATAACTACTGTTTTTGGGAAGGGGACCAATGTGGTGCTCTCCTCTGCTCCAGATGAATCTGACTATCAGACTGAGTATGAGGAGGAGCTGCCAGACATCCCCAAGGACACATATGCTGACTTCCAGAGCACTGGGGTTGAGTTGGACTCTGACTCGGTGAGGTACTAGGCCCAGCCCTGCCAATGGCCCTTGGCTGAGCCAACTCTGAAGTCCCCAAGAAGGGTCTGCCCTAGGTCCCTGACTCTGGCCTGGCTGCTCCCTACCTGTAGGCCTCCCAGGTGATGCAGCTCAGGGTCAACCCACTGGGGTCTGGCAGCCTCCACTCCAAGCATCTTGACCATGTATGATTTGCTTCCAGGAGGACAATCCTTCACTATTGCAATGGCACCCTGGCCTGGCTTCCTCAGAACAGCCCCAGGACTCCTTTCCCTGGCTCCCTGACAAAGATAAGCAGGAGCCTGGGCACTAATGCCCCTCCTGCTGGAACTATCTTTCCCTGAGCTTGACCAGGAGATTGAGGCCCTACCCACTCCAGGATTGAGGCTACTTCATCTACCTGACTACAGGCAGTGTATTTATTTGGTTTTTTCCAGGGGCCTGGGCTGCATCAAAGGATTCTTGGGCCTCTTTCGTGCACCGGTACCTCTTACATCCTAGCAGCAACACTGGGAGGGGAGAGGGGGCCTTTGTGAGGTATGAGAGTACTGGATTGGCATGTTAATAAAGGTTGATACGATTGTGTGGATGCTTCACTCCGGTGTGGAGGTTGCTATAGCAAAGAGCAAGCAAGATGGATCTGAGGTCTGGCATGTCTCTGCGGAGTGGTCCTGTGTTCTGTCTGGACCCTTTATTGGTGCGGAGACACCCAAGGGCAACAACTCTGGATAGACTAGGCAGGCAGGATGCCTGGATGCCTGGATGTCTGGATGTCTGGATGGAGCTAGGGTTTACCCCCACACCAAGGTGAGCCCTACTGGTTTCTCAGGCATTCCTTGCCCCTGGGCATATATGGGCGTTGCCCTAAGTGGGAGAGCTCCACAATAGCCTGCAGAATGCCTCAGGGCGGAGCCGCCTTTTAGCCACGCCCCCGTCTGACATACTTGTGCGGTGCCCCTACGAGCCCAGCCCAGCCCTGGCGTCACGGGGCGGAGTATCGCCCCCGAGTCCAGCCGCGCTCTTCTACGGCGGCTGGACGCGCGGGGCGCGGGGTGCGGGGTGCCGGGTGCGGCCATGCGGGGCCCGTGCCGGAGCGCGACCCTGACCCTGAGGCCGAGACCCAGCACGACCTCAGGCGCTGTAAGGCTCCCCCGGCGGAGGCGGCGGGCGCGGGGCGCGCTCTGAAGCCCGGGGGATGCGCGGCCGCCGTGACCATGGGTGCCGCCGCCTCCAGGAGGAGGGCGCTGAGGAGCGAGGCCATGTCCTCAGTGGCGGCCAAAGTAAGGTGAGTGTGGCGAGTCGGCTGGAAGTCAGGCAGCCGCGGCCGGCTTTCCGGTGGCTTCCCGCTGTTGTACCCCCCACCCCCCCCTACAGCTTCCTCTTCCCGAAGGGAGTAGGCCTTGGGCCCCGTGACCTGACCCCCACAGGCTGTGCGGAAGAGGAGAGCCAGCGAGGTCCGGAGGCCCGTGACCTGCATCGGCCTGGATGCTCTAGGACCCAGGGGTCCCTGGCTGTCCGCTGAGGGAGGAGAGGGCCCGCCCCTCTCACGATGGTGTGGAGGGCCTTGGTGGGGCTGGGGCAGTTGAGGAGGGTCTTGTGAATGTCAAAGGCTGGTAGGACAGTTGTACTGACCATGCCCCCTCTGCCAACCCTGCAGAGCAGCCCGAGCGTTTGGAGAGTACCTGTCCCAGAGTCACCCTGAGAACCGCAACGGTGCAGGTAGGGACCCAGGCTGTGCGGGGTGGGTCCGAGGTGGTCTGTCCCAGACCAGGCCCAGGGCAGGTTGAGTGTGAGCCAGCCCAGGTGCCCCGCTGGGTTGTCTTCCTCACACCCCCTGCCCTTCCAGGCCCAGAACCCCAGGAAGAGCTCCAATCACTCATCACCATGGCACCCTCCCAGCCTGGGCTGTTGGCATGGCAACAGGCCTCCTGGCACCCCCAGGGCTGGCACCACTGTCTCTGGGGGCCAGCTGGTGGGGGGGAGGGGAGAAGTTGGCACCAGGCAAATGGGTGCATCTGCATGAGGGTGCAGAGATATTGGCCTGCTGGTTCTTCCAGGGATCATGCACAGGTAACAAGGCCTCTCACCCCCAACCCATGCTCAAAAGCTTCAAGCCCAAATAGGAGGAGGAAGATACTCAGAAGCACCTTTTCTAGCAACCAGAGCCCCTCTCGTCAGACTAGGTGTTTGTTACCCCCAGTGTGCCAGGACACTGGGGCATCAGACTAGCATGCTGCAGGCTTACCTGATGCCTTTTCCCCAGACCACCTGCTGGCTGACGCCTACTCAGGCCACGACGGGTCCCCCGAGATGCAGCCTGCCCCCCAGAACAAGCGCCGCCTCTCCCTCGTCTCAAATGGCCGATATGAGGGCAGCATTTCAGATGAGGCCGTCAGTGGGAAGCCAACTACAGAGGGCCCCCAGCCCCGTGTATACACTATCTCGGGAGAGCCCGCCCTGCTGCCCAGCTCTGAAGCTGAGGCCATTGAGCTAGCAGTGGTAAAGGGGCGGCGGCGGGAGCGGCACCCTCACCACCATAGCCAGCCCCTGCGGGCCAGCCCTGGTAGCAGCCATGAGGATATCAGCAGGCCCTGCCAAAGCTGGGCAGGCAGTCGCCAGGGCTCCAAAGAATGTCCCGGATGTGCCCAGCTGGCCCCTGGGCCTTCCCCTCGGGCCTTTGGGCTAGAGCAGCCACCTCTGCCTGAGGCTTCTGGACACGGAAAGAAACTGGAGAGGATGTGTAGTGTTGATCGAATGTCTGGTAAGTGGCCTCCTCTTAGCATGGGTAGGTTTGGGTAGCCTCCTGGGCTTTGGCAGCAGCAAATACCATGAGGCTGGGTGTCACTGTGTGAAGGAAGTCAGGATGAAATCCCATGGACTTCCACCCACCATCCTGTGAGCTGTGGCCTCCTTCAGCCTCTCAGCAAATGTACCCAGCCTCATAGCTTTGACCCTCCCACCACCCAGTCATTTGAGGAGTACTTCCTGGAGGAGGGGTCCTGGAAGGATCTTGAAGACTGAGTAGACAGAAAACATGACTTAATAGGAAGATCAGACTGCCTTCAGCAAGTACCAGGGAGCAGAAGCTGTCTGGGCCCTGAAATTGAAGATTGTCAAACTGGCAGGGATTAGAAGGCCCCTGAGGCATGCTGTGTTTAGTAACTACCTCTCCCCACAGAGTGCCCCCCTTAGGACACTCCAGCAGCCCCATGCCTAGCTTTAGGGAATAAATATACGGGAAGGGACAGTCCTCAGCATGGTAGTCTTCATTCTCAGTAAGGGCCTTTGGCTTGCCCTGCAGGGGGTATAGTCTGGCCAGTTGATAGCTAAGACGACCCCTGAGAAGGGCTACCTTATGCTCAAGGGAGACAAAAATGTGACAACCCAGAGACAGACTCTGCTTTCAGAGGCTTTCTGGATTGCTAAAGGGAAAATTAAACAGAGACTCAAAGCCTCAAGTCATGGGCTAGGGAGAGGCAGTTAAGAACATATACCACTTTTACAGAGGACCTGAGTTTGGTTCCCAGCACCCACAGCTGGCAGCTTACAGCTCCCTGTAACTCCAACTCCACGGAGATCCCACACCTCTGGAAGCTGCTACAGGCACCTGTACTCATGTGCATATACACATAATACACATAAGTCCTTTTTAAAAAGCCTCAAATCAGAGAGTGTGGGTGGGTGGAATTCTGCTTGAGAACCCTACCCTGAGCCAGCTTTTTCTCTGAGAGGACTAGGTACCCTGCTGCCTTGACTCTGCTGCTGTTACTGGCCCCTTGAGCCTAGAGTTCCCTCCTGGCAGGAGGGATCAGGCTTCGGGACTCTTGGCCTTGCCAGCCATAGCCTCTTCTCTCTTCTAGATGATGTCCCCATCCGTACCTGGTTCCCCAAGGAAAACCTTTTCAGCTTCCAGACAGCAACCACAACTATGCAAGCGTGAGTGCAGTGTCCACTGCAAGGGTTCTTGGCTGGGTTGCCTCTTAACTGCTGCTCAGAAAATACTGACCATCCTTACCTGACTGGGTCCCATCTGGGGGCTTCTTATGAACAGCTGCATGTACCACACTGTGCCAGATCTGCTAATGGGCCAGGCTGAGGCCCTGAGTCCCAGGAGGCAGGGTTACTTGCTTCCTCTGCCCATCTCCTACTCCCATCTCTTCTGTTCTTTTCCTTACCTGCATTCCCTCATGGCCTCTACCTACCCATTTACTTGTGGCCTGCTGCCATTTTCTCTGGGGACCTGGTCCAGAGCTGCAGCTGATGATATCATCATGGGGTGGTTTGGGGTGAGGGTATCCTGGTCCCCGTACATACCCCAAACTCCAGCCTCCCTTCTGCTTCATATGTGACAGGTAACTGTTACCAGGGATATCCTAGAGGTCTGTTCTTCTCTATGTGATATCTGGGTTCTCCTCTCAAGGAGGGACCTTTGAAGCAAGTTCCCCATACCAGATCAGCCCCACTGCACTCTCAGGTGCTGTGCCAAAATAGATAAGGCACAGTCAGACCTCTGTAGGACCAACACCTAGCCTTGCCTAACCCAGGGCTCAGCATCTGGAGGTATGGACCAGTGACTCAGCCTCTAGTGCCCTTTGATGGCTGGCCCTGAGCCCAGCCAGCATCCTTTTGGGAGGGAACTACCTTCAGGAGGTCTAGTAGGGGACTAAAGGAAGCCAGGGATCCACACTCACTGTGCCTTCTCTCTCTTAATGCCTCTTTCTGCTATGGCTTCAGCATCTCGTAAGTATGCCACATAATGTACACTTAGGGGCACAGCTGTTGTCCTGGGGAATCCTCCCACTCCCAGATAGATTTCTGTAGGTCAGGGACCCTGGGCCTGGACAGTGAGGAGTGCTGAGCTCCCATTAGCCCAGCTCCCAGTAGACAACTAGGCCTCAGCAGGACCTGCTGGGAACTGGGCCTGGGATGCCCCACTGGGCCCCTGTGCTTGCACCTCTGTCTCCACGTCTGTGTCCCTCCTGCCTTTGGCCAAGGGCAGTGCTGACTTGCGGCGGTTTCTCAGGGTATTCAGGGGCTACGCGGAGAGGAAGCGCCGGAAACGGGAGAATGATTCCGCGTCTGTAATCCAGAGGTAGGGCCTGCCAGCCACTCGCCACCAGGGTCTGTCTCTAGTCTGCACTGGCCTGGCCAGGGCCCTCACGGCCCTGGCAGACCTGATGGGGGAAGGGTGGTGGCGACCACTGGCCTGGCCCTGCTCTGGGGACGTGGCAGGCAGGAGAGGCCATGTGGCCAGGCTGTATTTCAGCCCCTGGATCTATACTTTGAGGGTATATTGGCAATCAGACTACAAGCCAGCTGGCCCATCCACGTCTGTCTAGCCCCGAAGCTCAGAGCTGTTCGACCAGTGGCACGGCCTACCCTCCCTCACTCCCACCAACCTCAGAGGTGTGCCTGGGAAACTTATTTGTCTGTCTTGGACATGGGACCTTGGCAGGGCACAAATTTGGGGGAAATTTGCCTCTTCGGTGGGAAGGGGACATTTTCAAGCTCCCAGACCAATTTGCAGGTATGGGTCCAGGGAGAGGATGTTAGGAAGCCTCCACAATGGAAGAGATGCCTGTGTGAAGCCTCAGTGACAAACGAAACTGGCAGAGAAGTGGTGCAACTTGCCTCTGTTCTGGAGTGTGGGGAGGATCTCAGTAAGAGGCCGGATAGGATTTACTTGTATATGAATCTCAGGGAGTTTCTCCTGTGTCCAGCCTCAGTGTGGTTGGGGGCTAGGTGGGCAGGAGCCACCACTCACCCCTTAATGGGCCTTCATTGTCTCATGCTTTCTCCTTCAGAAACTTCCGCAAACACCTGCGTATGGTTGGCAGTCGGCGGGTGAAGGCCCAGAGTAAGATGGGTGTCGGGGAGGTGGGCAGCGCTGTGCTTGGCAGGCTGGGGCTTTGCGTGCTGGCAGCCCACCTCCCTAGACCTGCTCTAGCCCCACCTACCTAGAGGCACCACCCCTTCACCATGTTCTCCCTCCACTAGGCCCTCTGCCTCCTGCCTTGCCCAGGCCCTGCTCCCTTTCCTAGTGTTGCGTCCTTGTCCCACCCTGCCTAAGTGTTCTGCCTTGTTCTCCCCACAGTGTTCTGCTTCACATAGGCCCTACTTGTTGAGTCCCCTAACCCAGTGTTCCGCCTATCCCAGGCTCTGTTCCAACCCCACCTGGTAGTCACCACTGTGCCTTTTGTCCCTACCTAGTGTTCTCCAAGTTCCCAGACTCTGCTCCTAGTACTCTGTGCTCCTGCACCTGCACCAACCTTATCATTGGTCTTAGTCCATCTTATGAGATTTCAGGCGGGCCCTATCCTTGTGAGCTTTTTCACATGCCTCCCCATCCCCAGCCTAGGGCCTGAGTCTGCTCTGTCCTTGGCCCTCTCTGGCTAATGGGGGTTTTGCTCTCTGCAGCGTTCGCTGAGCGGCGCGAACGGAGCTTCAGCCGGTCCTGGAGCGACCCCACCCCCATGAAAGCCGACACCTCCCACGACTCCCGAGACAGTAGGTGTCCAGATGCAGGCCAGTCCACTTCCCCTACAGGTTCCCTTAGGCCCATATCCCTGCCAAGGTTCCCATGCCAGCACCGCTAGGCTTCTGCGCTTTTGTTCTTTGAGCCTCGATTTACCTATCTGTGAGATGGGAATGCCTGGCATCTCAGTCTCTTAGGTGGGTTTAACTAATGGCTAAGCTATGCCTGGCAGGGGCACCAGTAAGGTTGTGCTCATTGACTCTCAGGGCATACTTGGCCACAAGTGACACTTGTGTTGGGTTTCAGCTTCATATCAGTCTCCCTCTTCCCACATGGGGCTGCTTTCCACTTGTGTCAGTGGCCCAATCCTGCAGATTGACTGTGACTATGGTCCTCCCACCTACCCAAAGATCCTCCAAGACATCCTTGGGCTCTGTAGGTGGTAGGCCACCATCCTGGTGACCCCTCCTACCTCCCAGGTAGTGACCTGCAGAGCTCACACTGCACTCTGGATGAGGCTTGTGAGGACCTGGACTGGGACACAGAGAAAGGCTTGGAGGCTGTGGCCTGTGACACTGAGGGCTTCTTGCCACCCAAGGTCATGGTGAGGCCTGCCCCTGGGTATACTTTGCTGACACTTGGGTGGAACAAAGCCCTGTCCTTTGCCCCTCCCCAACCATGCCCACGCTACTCTTAGTTGTGGGGGGTAGGGGGTGGTTCTTCACGTTCTACCTTAGCTGTGGGGATTCTTGGGGTCTCAACCCTTAGCTGCCTGGGGGAACTTTCAGAGGACTCTACCCTTGACTACAGGAAAGTAGGGAGGAGCATCAGAAGGCTCCACCCTTGGCTGTGGGAGTATACTTCATAGGGGTTCCCCTGTCCCCCACAGCTTATCTCCTCCAAGGTGCCAAAAGCTGAGTACATCCCCACCATCATCCGCAGAGATGACCCCTCCATCATCCCCATCCTCTACGTGAGTATCCTACCCAACTCCCTGCATCCAGACAAATCCCAGGAGGACACCTCTCACTCCAGGCCCAGCACTGGTATCCAAATGCCTTGGGGGTGGGGACTAGCAAGGACTCTGACGTGTGGCCTGTCTCTTCTCAGGACCATGAGCATGCGACATTCGAGGATATCCTGGGTATGTATCTTGCTGACTGCATTTGGTGGCTGGCAGGAAGGGTGACCCTCCATGGGAAGGGACAGTGCTCATGGCCCTCTGTCCACAGAGGAGATAGAGAAGAAACTGAACATCTATCACAAGGGAGCCAGGATCTGGAAGATGCTGATTTTCTGCCAGGTAGGACCAGCCTTTCCTTTCTTGCCCAAGAGAGGAGGCCAGTATAGTCAAGAAGGGAACCCAAGGTTACATGTGTGCATATGTAGGAGCATTGATGTATGGGTGCATGTGTGGAGTGGGTACTTGGACATCTTGCGTTAGCCTCCCTCTGGCATGCCTGAGGCCCGATCATGACTCTTACAGGGCGGCCCTGGACACCTTTATTTGCTCAAGAACAAGGTGGCCACCTTTGCCAAAGTGGAGAAGGAAGAGGACATGATCCAGTGAGACGGGAGGGTATTATGGTTTGGGGGAGGGCAGTCCTGAACCTAGTGTAACCTTTCCAACCCCCCTCCCTCCACTGTACTTCTGGTGGAGCTCAGCCATGGGGCCTGCAGCCCTGGGCTGAGGCCACTTGTGATCCTAACCAGCTTTTGGAAGAGGTTGAGCCGCCTGATGAGCAAAGTAAACCCAGAACCGAACGTCATCCATATCATGGGCTGCTACATTCTGGGGAACCCTAACGGAGAAAAGGTACTGGAACCTCAGACCTGTGAGGAGGGTGGTCGCAGCTCTCTGCTAGTCCTGGCACTTTACCTTCTGCTTTAGCCCTCCTAGGGAAATCCTTTATGCCTGGGGTCCTGAGCAAGGAAGATGGGTCCTGCTTTTAACCCCATTCTCATGGGCCTGCCCTATCTGCAGCTGTTCCAGAACCTCAGGACTCTCATGACTCCTTATAGGGTTACCTTCGAGTCACCCCTGGAGCTGTCTGCCCAAGGTAAGTTAGCCCAGTTGCATGACTAGAGGGCTGCAGGGATCTGCCCTTTGGGGCCTAGTCAGGCCTGAGCCTCCTTGGCCCTGTCCTTTCCTACCCAGGGAAGCAGATGATTGAGACCTACTTTGACTTCCGGCTATACCGCCTATGGAAGAGTCGCCAGCACTCGAAGCTGCTGGACTTTGATGATGTCCTGTGAGAGGCATGGGCCATGCCCAGGCACCGCCAGGAGAGGCATAGGCCATGCCCAGGCACCACCAGGCCACTTCCTCTGGACCAGGAGCCTGGGTCTGGGCCGCCTCTTGCACCCAGGACCATGTGGCCCAGGTCTTGCCCACAGCCACTTCAGGGACCCTCAGACGTTGCTCAGGTTCTTGTGGGGTCTGGTCCTCGCTGCACCATTGGGCCACAGAGGCCACAGTCCTGGGTGCCTGGGAGAAGCCTTGCCCCATGGCCAATGGACTCTTGGCAGCCAGGGCACCAACCTGCCATGCCTCGCCTGGAGGCCGCAGCGTTGGGAATCCCCTCCATGGGGTTCATAGAAATAAGTGCAATTTTTTACACCCCTGAAACAATTTGAAGGGAAGCAGCGTTACTAGTTAACTAGTTAAGCTCTGTGCTACTAGTTACAGTGTAGACAACTGGCCCAGTGTGTGTTCAGGTCCTCCTGTCCCCCAGCCCCTTAGCCCTGCCGTATTTGATCACCAGCACCAGGGTGGCCCATCTATGTGGGGCCAGTGCTGTCAGGCTGCTTGGTCTGGCTCAGTCTGCAATGGCCAAATCTGTCAGCTTTTACCCCTCTTGCCACCCCTTGCTCACTCTGACCTCAGCCTGGCAAGGGGCAGCCTGGGCAGTAGGAGGGAAGAGCCTAGCCTTCCTTCCTCTCAGATGAGGCGCTGGGTTGCCACCTACTCCCCACCTCTCCGAGCCTATTCATCTCCCTTGCTGCCATTGAGTTCAGCTTTTTCTAGCCTCGATCTGGAAGCCACCTTCTAGCACAGAGGCCTAGGGGCTTGGCGGGAGCCCAGCTGGGGCTGGGCCCCAGAGGCAAGAACCTTGCCAACTCTGCAGTGGGAGCCTGGATCTGTCACCCCAGGCCGGAGAGTCAAGTATCTGGTAAACTGTGAGGTCCCCATGTCTCCCCTCACAGCCTTGCCTAGGGTCCAGCAGGGTGGCTCTCTTGTACATAGTTGGAGCTTGGGGGCAGGCCCCCCCTTTTGTAGAGCCTGGGGTCTGAGGGCACCTGGTTGTGTCCCTGGCCAAGGAATTGGGATTCTGAACAATGTACGATATCCCTTAGAGTGACCATTAAACTTGACCCTCTGCTGCGGCTGCCGTGTAGCTACCCTCACTTTGGCACTCTTCATGTACATAACCAGCCTGAAGTCACTGTTGGGTCTGGACAGGGTAGAGGGCCCCTCCCTCCCCCCACTCCCCCAAGGACACATACATAGGAAGATGTGGTAGGGGTCTCAGAGAATACCCACCAGCGAGCACAACTAACTGTCCAGTGTCAAGGACCAGAGCAGCTGATACCAGTTGGACATGCCTAAGAGCTGGGAAAGACAATACACAACATGGGCAGAGCCTGGCCAACTTGATGCTAGGCGCTAAGGGGAAGAAGTCAAAGTTTGGGTGCCAACACAAACAGGTTAGCTATTCCATGCCTGTGCTTTGACTTACTTGGCTACCCATGCTCTCTGAAAGTGACGTGTGAATCACATGCCATTCAACAGTGTCTTCTGTATGGTTCATGAGACTAGCTGCCTGGAGTCTACGTGATGCTGCTGTGCAGGCATGAGAGCAGTGCTCCTCCAGGGGCAGTGTTTGTGACCTCATGTGTCACCACACTGCTACTTAGATGCACATTTAGGTGTCACCTGTAATCCTGCACTTAGCTTTAGAACAGTCAAACATTTAACTGATGGGCCTTGCAGGCTCAGTTTAAGAGTCTGGCTGGTGGCAGTGGTGCCTGCCCATGTCAGGGTCGGCTGAAACAGTGAAGGGGCTCATGTGCTTCACAAGGTTCTCTCATACCCACAGCTACAAGGCAAAATGTGACAGAAAGACACCAAAACCCAGAAGACACCTGGGGACAAACTTGGGGAATGTGTGGGACAGCAAGAAGGTGGCCAGACTGGATATGTGCAGACAAGAACATGGGGACAGGTTCCAAGTGTCCTTCCTACCCACTTTCCTCAATCAACATAAATAGGCAGCCACCAAAAACAGTCGAGACAGCAGTACAACATATGAAAACATTAAGAATGTATTTTGTTTGTTTTTTGGTCTTTTTGACACGGTCTCCCTATAGTTCCAGCTGGCCTGGAACTCAGAGATCTGCCTGCCTCTGCCTCTGGAGTGCTGGGATTAAAAGCATGTGCTACCACACCTGACCAAGAATGTTTTTGAGACAGGGTTTCACCTTGTAGTTCCCGCTGACCTCAAACTCACAAATACACCCCTCTTCCTCTGCCTCCCAAGTGCTAGGATTAAAGATTTAGGCTACTATAACCAACAAGCCTGTCTTAACGTGTGAGTATAAGTTTGTACTACTGAGGGTTGAACCTAGGGTTTCAGGCATGCTAGTGGTAGCATTCTATCATTTAAGATATAGTTTCAGTCCCCGCATACCCCACCCCACTTTTAAAAAAGAAATTTGCTATTGAGGCAGAGTCTTGCTAAGTTGTCTATCTGGCTTTGAAGTCCTATTGCCTAGCCTCTAACGGCTGAGATTGAGACCTGCACTGTCAAGCCCAGTTTATTATCCTTAATGTATAAGATTTTTTTTTTTTAAGTTGGGGTTTGAGAGATAACTCAGTAGTTAAGAGCACTGATTGCTCTTGCAGAAGACTGAGGTTTGGTTCCCAGGACCCACATGGCACCCATAACTCCAGTTCCAGGGGATCCAATGTAGGCATTGCACAACATGGGTAAAACATAAAATATTCAAAATTTTAAGGTGTGTGTGTGTGTGTGTGTATGTGAATACAGGTGTTCACAGAAGCCAGAAGAGGACATCAGATCCCCTGGAGTAACATGGATGCTGGGAACTGAACTCCCCTACTCTGTAAGAACAATATGTGTTATTTACCACTGAACCATCTCCAGCCCCTATAAAAACCTCTTACAGAATGAGACAAAAGCTTATAGAGGAAAATGAGCCAAGACTTGACCAGAAAAAGTCATGAGGGAAGTTGCATGAGGCAAACCACACAAGCAGCAGTGAGGGGCTCCCAAATTATCTCACCTCAGAATGTGTAAAGTTCACCAGCACTGGGAGGACTTTTTGGGAGTGAGAACTGCCAACAGCTGTACAAATTCAGTTGACTGACTCAAGCTGTCCAGCCAGCAACCTCCTTGCGACACCTGTGAAGAGGCCACTGTCCCAATGTCCATACAATGACCATTAGGCAGGGTACTGCCAGATTCTCCAGATGGTGTCTTGGAAAAAAGTCTTATCACTCCACTGAGACATGGTGGCTCATTGCCTTTAATCAGCAATCGGGAGGCAGAAGAAGGTAGATCTCACTGGGCATGGTGGCTCATGCCTTTTTTTTTTTTTTTTTAATTTTTACAAAAAACTTTATTGGGGCTGGAGAAATTGGCTCAACAGTTAAGAACACTGGTTGTTCTTGCAGAAGACCCAGGTTTGAATCCCAGCACCCACATGGCAGCTAACTGTCTTAACTCCAGTTCCAGGGGATCTGATGGCCTCTTCTGTCCTCCGCGAGCATTGCACGACACAGGTGCACTTCCCTACATGCAGGCGCAATACACATACACATAAAAGTAAATAAAATAACTTTATTGAGAATTTCATACATGCATATAAGGTTTTGATCAAATCCATGCCCACTCCCTCCCCTCCAACCCCCCCCCCCAAGAGGTAACCCTAAACTCTTTTAAGGATTAGATACAAGCTCCCAAATACTTTTGACATTTTTGGTCTTTGGAGCAGAGTATGTTGCTAACAGGCCCAAGGACATTTTGACTTTAAGTCAAAAAACTGGCTACATTTCTTTGGGGTCTTTTTACCTTAACTGCTATCCTCTGAAGGGGTTACCCAAATTGCCAATAGTTTCTTCCATGCTGAACAGGGACACAGGGTGAGGCAATTGGAGTACCCCTTCAGTGTGTCTATCTAAAAGGCCCCCAAATTGCATAACTCTTATCTCTAAGGGGAAAAAAGTCCTTGAATCATGAATAGGAGATATGAATGAGAAGTAAAGGCAAGAGTAGTTAGCATTACAAGTTCTAGACGGAACTAGAAAAAAGAACGGCAATTTTCAAATGTTCATATGAGAGTCCATTGGAGTTTCTTGACAAAGACTTCCAAAAGCATCCCTCTATTGAGTTCTTCCTTTAATCCCAGCAGAAGCAGGCAGCAGGCGGATCTCCGAGGTCAAGGTCAACCTGGTCTATATAGTGAGTTCCAGAATAGCTGGGGCTACAGGGAGACCCTGTCTCAAAAAGACAAAATAATATTTTTAGGGGCTGTAGAGATGGCATAGCAGTTAAGAAAACTTGCTGTTCTTCCAGAGGACCCCTGTTCAATTCCCACACCCACATGGTGGCTAGTAGCCACCATGCCCAGTTCCAGGGCATTTGATGCCCTCTTCTGGCCTCTGCAGGGATTACACGTGGTACACTTAGACATGCAAGCAAAACACTCATATACATAAAAATATTTTAAAAAACAAGCCATCATGTGCACTTAAAATATTAGAAAGTATTGGCCAGGCATGGTGGTGCATGCCTTTAATCCCAGTACTCGGGAGACAGAGGCAGGCAGATCTCTGAGAGTTCAAGGCTAGCCTGGTCTACATAGTGAGTTCCAGGACAGCTGGGGCTACAGGGAGACCCTGTCTCAAAAAGACCAAAATAACAATAATAATAATAATAGGAAGAAGAAGAAGAAGAGGAGGAGGAGGAGGGGGGGGAGGAGGAGGAAGAAGAAGAAGAAAGTATCAAGAACTTGGAGTTTTTGTTTTGGGTTTTTTTTGGGGGGAGGGTATTTTACAACTGAAAAATGGTAGCTAAATGGGAAAAAATAAAAATCCAAAGGCCTCACCAGACAGATTCACCAGAATGAAGATACAGAGGAAAGAGCCATGAGCTTGGAGATGGGTCAGTGGGGCTGATCTCATCTGAACAACGAAAACAGATTTCAAAATAAATGTCTACAGCCTTCAGGCCCTTGGGGTACAACACTGGGAATGTGGGAGCCCAGAAACAGGAGAAAATGGAATTCTGGGAAAATATTTGAAGACATCAAGATCAAAATATCCTAAGTTTTGTGAAAGATGTGATCTATAGATTGTAGAAGCTAAACAGGATAAAACCAGAGAAAATCAAACCCAGTCATGTAATCTGTTGAAATCATGAAACAACTAGAGAGAAATACCACCTGAATCTATAAAGTGTAAGGCAAGATAGTGACAGCCTGCTTGGCTGCCACGCCGTGTACACAGATGGGTGGTTTCAAAAACAGACATTTTTTCCTCATGGTCTTAGAGGCCAAAGTCCAAGACCTGGGAATCATGGGGCTGGTTTTTCTGGGGTATCTCCTGTGCTTGCAGATACCATTTGCTCCTGTGTTCTCACATGGTTGACCTGTTAAAGGTCCTGATCTCCACTTGCAAACAGAGTGATCACTCTTCCTGCTAAATAAATGTTTAGATGAGGCACTTGCAGTGGTCCATATCTCCTGCTGGATATGTAGCTTGGCAGGGCAGAAAAGACATAGAACCTACTTCTTCACCAAGGCTGCCCCCATCCAACATCCCTGATTTGTTCTTCCCCATGCTTCTAAGTAACTAACTAAACCATGGTTCCCCAAAACCCTCGGTTTGGTTAATTTGCTAGAGTGGCTCACAGAACTCAGGAAAGCATGTTTGTTGGTTTATTACAAAGGACATAAAAAAGGATACAGATGAAGAGGTAGGGCAAGGAAAGTTCCAGGTCCTCTATGTGTGCTAGTCTTCAGGAACCTTCATGTATTCAACTCTCCTGAAGCTTCCTACACCCTGTCCTTTCATGTTTTTATGCAGAAATTCTAATTTCTATGTTTTGCCTTGGGGAGGGAGATATAAGAAGAATAGATGAAAACCAATCTACATAAAATCACAGGCCGCCCTTGGCTTTGAGTAAGAATCCTCATATCAAAATATACAGCTCCAAGTTCCCCTCCTGTGAGCTGGAGTTGTGCTCCCCTCCTCTGAGCAGGCAGGAGTGGTGTTCCCCTCCAGTGAGCTGGAGCTGTGGTCCTCCCTTGTGGGCTGGAGTCCTAGTCCTCTCCTGTGAACTGAAGATGTGGTTCCCCTCCCGTG